GTGTATCAGGTGACCGTGACCAAGGGTACGAGTCCAATCAACACTGTTGGATCCCTGTGTTGTATGTTCCATCAAGGACGGAGGTAGATGCAATCCAATCGCGTGGGCTCCATGGAATTGAGTTGTCTGGTTCTTCGTGGAAGCGATGACATAGTCCCAAAAGTGTACTGAATATTACTTTGTAGCTTGTGGTCCGACCCCCAAGATCTGCCTGGGCAGGATACATTTAGAGATTCCATCAAGCGGGGAAGAGGTTTGCAGTTCAAAATAACGTAACATTGTACACCAATTCCACAATCAGCACCTTTTGGCATCACCATGAACGGGGTTGAATGCCAGGCTGTCGCAGGATGCTCTCCTTCAAGTGCGGATGTTCCGCTCGGCGGACCACGTGAGTTGAGCTGCTCCATGGTTGATCGTTGAGCTCCATTCGTTCTTGACAGGATCATCAGGCTTTTGAACTCCAGGTCGCACTGTATTGCTTGGACTCTTGAAATCATAATTTCCTACCGATCAAAATCTTATCAATGGCGGATAGAATGAATTTCCTTTTTCTGTTGGTCAGAACAGTACGAGACTTTTCGCGGTCGGATTAGCAAGTCCAGTGAACTGCTGAAAGCAATCTCACAGAACATAACACACCATGCATCCAGTCAGGAACCTGTGTGGTGCTCACCAGCTCATCCGGTACGCATGGAATGCTGTCGGTACTGGTGGGGGCGTGCTGCGTGTAGTAGACCATTGGCTTTGCCCATGTCGCTGCCAACAATTAATTCGGCGCGATCGATGTTCTCCAGCTTGACGGGACAGTGGCGAATTTGACCAGTCCTGATTATGTTGCGGTAGCCCTCCAAGAGAGGCGCTGAGGCTTTGTGGACAATTTCCTGCAGAACACCCTTGCTTGCTTATTTGGAAAGCTTCGAGGTTGCTTCCACCTCTGACAAATGCTTACTCCGTGAAACGGTTGAGTTGCCAATGTGAATAGAGTCTGCTCAATCAAACTGCATAACAGACCTTTGGCGTCTTCCTACCTGTAGTTGATCCCATTGGGCGTAGGGTCGAATGGCAGCGATCGACTCTGTGATCCATAGCATAGGAGCCATCCTAGTGCCTGACGGCAGTCACCATACAACAAGAGACAAGAGCAGTTGACATTGGCGATGCCCCTGGATATTGGAATAACATTGCGTAAGGGTGGTCCTTCTTGGTAAGCTTTGTGTTTCCAACATTGGTGGCCATCTGGTTTGGTCTGGGAGATAGTCGCTTGCGGAAAATCATGTCCTTGTTCATGACATTTCGGATGGAACTGCCACCGTCGAGATACACTGTGTTGCCTCCATCAGGAATAGGGTCTTGACCGACACTCCTGCAAGATTTGGCTTGCACTCCTGTGAGCTTCGGCATCTGCCACCCTGGAACTCAACGCAACTTGATGGTTCTGTTCTTCGACCGAAAGTGAGTCTTGGTCTTGGAAATCCTCATAACAGTTGCCTCGCTGATTCTCCCGTTGACGCCGGCTGGGTCCCCGGTACAAGCAACGAAACTCATTCTCTACTGTATCCGAGCTGTAGTAGGAACAGCAGCACTGATCATCGTCTTGGCCACTCCGAGGGATGACTCCTTCGAATGGTTCTGTGTTGAAGACGGTGTTAGGGTGTGCAGAACGACTTACAATTATATTATGTTTATCATTGTACCGCTGGAGAATAAGGTCGGATCCGATGCTCACACCGTCAGGACCTCCCTCAGGGAGCTGATCATGGCCGTAGCCGAGTGATGCTTTCTCGATGATGTCCATCCATGCCTCCATCTCTTGCATAAATGGACTGCCCAAGAAATCGATAGCGAAATGTCCACACCAGCAATTAGCGAAAACTAAGCCCGCTCACCCGGATCGGGGTGAATCATCTCTGCCCACCAAGGGCGGGACTCCATCAACTTGATTGTGCTGAAAGTGGAACTGCAGCTGACCCTGTCGGGCTGGCCTGGGGGGCTTGGTTTGACATGGGAAACTGTTAAAAGTTCGACTGGCTCGTAGGAGGTGGAGGGACTCTACTGAATCCACTCCTGCTCGAAGAGGCTCCAGCTGGAGCTTGAGCTGCGCCGTCACACTGTGGTGGCACTCCTTCGAGTACTATCGGTGTTGGGTATGAGTGCATGAGGACTTCTTCATGCCTGCTTTTGCGTCTGTCCAGATTCGCCTGGTCGCTTAATTTACTTCTTCTGAGTTCAGAGTTCTTTCATCAATGAACGCCGTGCGACCAGATCATAGACTTGTTCAACGTCGCTGTCGACTTTCCTCAAGTAGTAGTCAAATCTGTCATGATACTCTTGCTTGGAACCCAGAAAAAAAAAAAAACCACTTGGAACTGTGCTGATGTATTGTATGAATGGAAGCTTTTGTAGAGCCTTGCATCACTATAAACGGATCCTCTGGAGCAACACAATGGGGTCGAGCTTAACTGCATCCTCATAGTCTGTGAGGCATCTCAACTTGGACTTCATTGCTTCGGTACAGTATTTCACCTGTATGGTGGTTGTACCTGTCTTGAGAATGTTTTCATAGGATCGAGTCGACTGTTCGTAGATGGATGACTTTGCTTTGTACTCACTGAGTTCCAAAGCATCGTACTCTTTGGCTTTGGGTTCAGCAAGTGATGCCTGGTGTGTCGGCTTGTCCGGCTGGGATGGCGCCTGACTCTTAATGGTCTCAATGGCCAATCAAGCCAGAGGCACATCATCCCACTCAGGCTTGATCCTAGGTCCTGGACAATGTGTTCAGGGTCTCCTCAAAAGGATAATACCTGGTGTCACCCTGTCCATTTGGATGGAAAAGGAACTGACGCTTGGAAATCTTGTTCTGGTTCCTGTAGCGTTTGCCTCTTCCTTGATGGCATCTCCGAAGAATTGAATTCCCACCCCCAAAGTATCTTCTCCACACGACCACCTCTTCCTGTGAATCTCATGGTTGCCGTAGGTGTGGTAATGCACTCTAGTGCTTGCTTGCTTGAACTACGGTTTTCTCGTGACTGTTCTTGTGTGGATACTTCTGCAGGAAGGATCGCACTACGGGCACTACTTTTGTATTTGCCTGTAAAAGCTTCTTTTTGGCTGTATAGCCTTTGTCACCTTGGGCACCTGTTTGCTGGATATGCCTCGTCTTTTGATCAGCTCACGGCAATTCAGAGAACTCGTGTTTCTTTTCTGTCGCCTGTAGTAGCTAACTGCCTCTGTTGGTCTTTTTGTTGCCTCTGCAAAGCTTGCAGATGGTCTTGGTATGGTTGGATGAGTACAATGAGTGTGTTATAATGACTCAAACATTTGCACGGTGGAGTTTTGCGTCTTCGGGATACTTATGAGCTTTCTTGTGATTTTTGTGTTTTTCTTCACAGTAGCACTGTAGCACTCGAATCAACCTATCTCGCTCAATTTTCGTAGTTGAGACCTTGCACTTTTTGTGGCATATGCGGCAATATGTCCTCTTTCGATTGATGTATGGGACTTCTCTGCAACGCCTGTTCGACTTATCTAGTCGCCGTTCGATAGTTCTGCTCGACTGTGATAGACCGTGACGAAAATCAGCTCGCGATGACTACATGACTAATCCTCTCAACTCGTGAATAACAGCCGAACTTGCTTCACGGCAATTCGCGTAAGCTGTTCTCCTTGATCATCTGGTATGCTTGGATCGCTATAGTTCCGGCCGAAACTTACAGTTGATCTCACGTACTTGTACCTGTGACTGAAGATGGGAATTCCCGCGCAGAGCATCCTCTTTCGTGTTAGAGGTTTTCGATGCTCTTGATAGTTGGTAAGCCCGTGATTCTTCGCACCTCTTGTGTGTTGCATGTGTTAACTCACTTCAAGTCATATTGAACTTATGTCTTTGACTTGTTTACCTTGATATCGATCTAGAGATCGAGTAGTAGTAACCGATGATTGGCTTTTGCTTTCAGTGTTTGTGCTAGTAATACTGCAGCTTATTGGGAGTAATTTGGTTTTAGATTAAGCTGAAAAGCAAAAGTGAGGATTTTCTGGTGGTGCATAGCAATTCTTGTGATTGAATTGGATATAAGGACCCCCGTAGCACTTTAGACCTAAAACTTCCTTGGTTCCTTGCATGATCAATTTACATGCAAACCGGACTAGATGATTAATACACGAGTCAATAGTAAAGAGGTGTCAGGTATGTTTCCTCCAACAGTACCGGTACTGATATTGTTTCCTACTGCTTTTTCCAGGAGGGACGAAGGACAGGGAGGGAACATACCAAGAGATGCTTTCACCTGTGAAGCAACCGCAGCAGAATCGTTTTGGAGATTGATCAAAAGTTGCTCAGGACTTGACACAAGGCAGAGCTCGTCGCATGAATAGCTAGCTAGGAATGTCATGAGGGAAGGTTGCCAATCAAGCATTGTTAGCAATGATGTTAGTGATACATGCATCCTACAGTACAACGATCTCGGGTCCAGAACTCTGGCACTGTCGCCGGAAGGGGAGCAGAAAAGTTTTCTCAACCCTATCTTTTAAATTACAACTCTTTAGGCTAGTTTTGCTCGATCTTATGAAGCATGTGCAAAAGCTCCTCAGCACAGCCAGGGGCTCAGAACTGCCGACGTGCTTTCTTGATGTCCAGGCTGGTGGACTGTAGAAATATGTGACTGTTTATGCAGGCACTACTTGACAACAGCAAGGCGAGGTCGTCACATGACTAGCTAGCAAAGGGGGGAGGAAAGTTTGCCAATGAATCATTGTTATGTAGTGATAGTACATGTACATGCAGGGCCCTACTTGACAACGGCAAGGCAGAGCTGATTGGCTAGCAAAGAGGGGAGGAAAGTTTGCCAACAATCAATCATTGTTAGCAATGTTATTTATTAGTGAAACATGTAACCCCACAACTATCTTGGATCCAGAACTCTAGCACTGTCCTGGTCGATCCATCTAGCATCTAGCTAGTAGAAGAGGTGGAAGGGAAGCAGAAAGTTGTCTCCCACCATTTACAAATCTTGCGCAAGTTTGGCTTCTTTGGCTCCTTCTTCAAAAATGACACGCAATGGTAATACAATTCTTGCTGCTTCAGTCATAATGGCTTTGTCAACCTCCAATGCCTCCATGGCGGCAGTCAAGTGCTGAACCACAAGATCAAAATGACCTTCATGGAGCCCTTGGGCAAAGAGATGCTTATGGTGATTCTTGATGCTGATCATCACATTGACGCTTTCCGGGATTTTGGTGAATGCCATGGTGAAGAATCGCTTCTGATGCAATGTCAGGACCCTCAAATCTGTGTCCTTGAAGAAGTCCATCAACTTGTCATCCAAGAGAACACGGTCGAGAAAGGCTTCCACAAGGCACTCCAGCACTTGAGGACCTCCTAACCGATCCAGCAGGAAGCCATTGTCGAAAGAGTCGTTGTTGCCATTTCTTTCATCACTCTCCATGACAGTCTTGGCCGCCTTGCTGCCAAAGACTCTGACTCCATACTTTGCCTTCCATCGCTTGAATATCTTTAAAGCCATGGTGATGGTTGTCTTGGTCTGGTGGAAGGCAAACTTGAAACTTGAGAGAGAGTTTGCAAGAACGTGGGGTTGTGTGGGGTTTATGATTTTTAACCTCGGCAGGTTAACTGCCTGAGTTCTCAACCCCTTTAATGCTATTTCCTATTCCGGTGAAGCCAAAATATAGGGATAGAGATAGTCTTAAGCCAACCAAACTGGAAATTGAAGGTTCTACAAAGTTAGGGGTAGGAATAAATCATGATTATTCAAGGTTAGTGCACTCAACACAATAAGCCTGCAGAAGCTACAAAGAATACAATTACATAAGGGAATGACAGCTGTAAATTATGGTTAGCGGGCTACAAAGAATGCAATTACATAAGGGAATGGCAGCTGGTAAATTATAGAGTAGCGGGCGGCAACACACGACGTAGTCGGGTGTTGTCGCCAGGGCTAGCTTTTAAAATAAAGAAGGTTGCAATGAGGGAATGAATGATACCGGGCGGCAACACACGACGTAGTCGGGTGTTGTCGCCAGGGCTGGCTTGAAAGATGGGTGCAATCTCGAACATGATCCTCCTTCTTCTATCTGTCTTTCTGCCGAGGTATCGCAGCTCCCGCTGACTTAAATTTGCAATGTGCTTCGAGGAGGGTTTTGGCCCGTCAGCTCGTCAGCGACGCAAGAATACGGTACCGTACTCGGCGTGGTACGATTTATTTAGTAAAGATGTCAAGAACAAGAAGCCATGGAATGCTCTCTCATGATCTAGAACCAACGTGCTTACAAAATGGTTGCGAAATCAGAACGGATGAGGCCAGGGTGTGGGACTCACATGAAATACACGCTGCGTGTACTCGATGTGAGTACGGGTACTGAGTACTGAGTATACTCAGTACCCATACTCACATGACCTCAGAAAATGTGAGTATTACTCAGTACCCGTACTCACATGACTCCGGATTTTGAGTACTTTTGAGTCTTCGGTGAGTACTTCGGTGAGTACTTCGAAGTGAGTACAGTGAGTACTCGGTGAGTACTCGGTGAGTATTTGTATACTGCCTATGGTAATACCGTGTGTTTGCTTCTTATTGTTACTCCACTGTGGTTTGGGTGCCAGGGACTCGCCGAACCAAAGCTACCAATGACACTGAAAAGTGGAATGGCACTGCAAGTGGTACCCCACCAAGTTTGATGGCTCTCCCCAGTTTATGAACCCAAAGATGACGGGATGGAAGCTACCTTCCTTCCACCACTGAGAGGATTGGTTTGAGGACAGTCAAAGTCGAGGAACTACATAAGATTCCCAAGAAACTATTCCGGCGAATCCCAAGTGAGTTGCGACGCTATGGTGCGAGCGTTTCAAGCTGTAAGCAGGATGACAAACCTCGCCATGATGTGTAATGAGCCCCCAGCCCAGAACTAGAAAAACTAGATAATTCCCTAAGTAATTGATTTATGAGTCTCAGTGAGTATCTATAGTACCCACAAAGTACCTGTACTCACATGATACCCGTACTCACTTGACCCTGGGAATTGTGAGTATTACCCAGTACCCATACTCACTTGACTTTGGAATTGTGAGTACTACTCAGTACCCATACTCACATGCTAAAACAGTGTGAGTACCACGCCCTGGATGAGGCTGCTCTTTAAATCTCAAAAACTACACAGGTTCTTCATTATTTAAAACTCTTTGACAGAGCAAGACTCAAATGATTTAAGAGCTGCTACATAGCTCTCACAGACCACGTGACTTTTGCTGCCTCCACGCTGATTCAGTGTCCGTTGGCTCTACTAGTACTATTAATAGTACCGGTACGACTGTACTAGTAGCTGGCAGCCAGCTAGCGGCTACTCTCAGACCTCAACACCAAAGTTATGCATGCACTGCACAAGTGTGCGCTTGAATGGCTCGGTTTTTTTGAACCGATGCTGCAATGTGGGGATATCGGCGCACCGCTTAGCAGCCATCAAATGGCATCGCTGATGTTCTTGCTAGCTCGAAGCAAGATACATGTAAGCCAAACATGACCGGCTGCACTCTCCTGCCGACTCCTACAATCTACAAGAAAGGCAGTTACGAACATACCAAATCAATTTTGTGTTCAGGACCATGCAAACTCTTCTTAAACGTGGCAGGTTCATGGCTATCTGTAGCAAGCAACGCACACCAAAAGGCATTCTTGTAAGAATCTGAAAGCCGATCTCTGGATAAATTACGAGACACGAAAGAAACCCCCGAGGTAAGTAATAGCCAAGTGCAAAGGCGGGGGAAACAAGGCGGGCATTCCTAGCTAGCATATGTTGCCTCTTTCCAGCGTCGCTCAGGATCCTCAGTAGCAGTTCTGCTGTGAGGAGCCAGCATGACCCAGCCAGTGAAAGGTAAATCGCTCTGAATGCGAACAATTCGAATCTTTTCCCTTGAGCCATTCTTCTGTCATCTTCAGCTACTGCTGGGCACCAGATCTTGTGAGAAGTCCAGCTTTTGGGTGGCTGCTTTCGTGACCCAAATGTACTTTCTCAAATGCAGCAAGAAGTGAGCGTGTTGCAGTACCGGTACTGTGTTTGACAGATGCAAACATCCTGCCAGACTCGGCAAGCAGATCTGTGGCAGACTTGGTGCTCTCTGGCCCTTTTGAAGGCCAAGTGGGCAAGACACAAGATTCGATTCTGTTGCGTTGTACCCACACAGCTGCAACAATGAGGGCGCGTTATCTACACGCACACATCCATCTCGTATGTTTACCGTGACCGCACACCGTGGAAATCCAGCTCCTCCAATTCGGACAATTAAATTATGGGTCCTGTTGGGGTTCTTTGACGTCAGTCGCAATTCTGAACCGAATGTCTTGGCTGTGTTCTTGGCAAAGGACACGTTAAAAGTGGACCAGCCCTGGCCTAATCTCCTGAGGTGGTGAGGAGAGGTCGGTTCCGCTGGAACCGGTAACTGGAAAAAGTTGATCATCCAAGATTATTTGTTGTACTGGTACCGGTACCTGGGGAGCTAGCCAGGAGCTTAAGGTCAATAGGCCGAAGCATGCACCCATCTTGCACCCAACAGAGGTGGTGGAGTGTTGCTATCCATGGATCAATGCTTACTGGGAGCAATGCAAGAAGTTTGGACTGGGTGATACGGTCAACAATTGTTGTTGTACTAGCTAGCAAGTATTACCGTTGTTTTTTGAAAGGAAGAAGTCTTGGTCAATACCGCGAGTTGCTCCTTGCGGAGCCGTGGCCTCCACCAGGCAAGGCTTCTTTGACCAGTCTATAGAGAAATTGGGGTTTGTATTCTTTTCACCGTTCGTTGGAATGCTATTGGCCCAGAACTGCAAACGTAGGCAGAAACGTGGTAGGTTGTGGGCCATTGCAGCGACTGAAAAGGCCCTACAATTTCTCCCAGTGTGCAGTTCCAAGATACGACTGTAAATGTAGCCTCTTCCTTTGGTACCGGTAGCACCACTGGCAAGCCAGCAAGCAAAAGAGCTCTAGCCCTAGAAATCTCCATTCCAAAGCAATGGCCCCATGGAATGCCGATGGTCCATGATTTGATTTTTTGATTCATACCAGTGTGGTCTGAGGGTACTTGTTACAAAGAATAGAAGGGTTGTGCTGAGCAACCTTTGGCCACTGGTGGTGCCGGTATGAGCTTTAATTAAATTTTTAAAAATGGGAAACCAGAACTTTCTACAGTGAGTCGAGTCTTAATTAAGGGGTCGTGATAGGCTCTAATGTGAACCTACAATGTTCTCGGAATCAGCTCCAAGAGCTGCTCCAAGCGTCGCCTCATCAGCAAAGCGGCAAGTACATGACAGTGTAATGCAACTGCAACAACACAGCTGGAACCACGCCAGAACCCAAGTCAACCCAAGTCATTCTAACTAACAGCATGGAAAAGTGAAGCCTCACTGGAAACAATTGAACCAGAATACAAACCCAATCTCCTACCGGTATCTCACTTTTGATCTGTTCATCTCCAACCTTGGCTTTCTCGTCACAAATTCAGCACACAGCAACCACAACAGCAATTGAACGCAGACACAAATCAGCCATACAATCAATCAATCAATCAATCAATCTTAATCATGTCCCAATCTAACACCTCCATTTCGGCCCTCGAGGACAGCAAGGTCTCTGCTGTGTTTCTTGTCAGTGACAATGAAGATGAAGAGGAAATGCCCCTGTCGGAAACTCCGTACCTCGACGAGTATGAACCAAATGCCAACATTGCCAGCTTTCTGGACAAAGAGATCACAGTTGGCAAGTTCATTGGTCAAGGTCGCTTTACGGAAAGCTACCAAGTCAAGTCCTTTCGTCGTGATATCATGTTCCAAGCCAAATCGGTGCAAGACGAGAGGAACCGACTCGAGCTCTCCGAGACGGCCAAGAACAATAAAAAGGGCAGTTATAACTACAGCCTGAAACAGGTCCGAGGTGGACTCATGACGGAACGAGAGGTGGAACGTGCCGCATTGGGCTTGACCATTGAAGCCAACTACCTGAGCCGCCTTGATCATGCCAACATTATTGCACTCAAGGGTACCTGTGAGACCACTGTCGTGCTCGATGGGGACGTCTACGAGTACCACGCCATTATTACCAACCGCATCACCGAGACACTCGATCAACGGATCGACTACTGGAACTCCCAAGACAGCGTTGCCAAGGACAGCGACTTTATCTTGCACCTCAAGACGGACTATGCCTTTCAGATTGCTGATGCCCTCTCGTATCTACACAAACGACGCATCATCTTTCGCAATCTGACGTTGAGCAGTATTGGTTTCACCACCAGTGATACCATTCAGCTCATCAACTTTGATTGTGTCAAGGAGCTTCCCGAAGGACAAGACTGTCTCCACGATGGATTCAAGGGGAGTCAGACGTATGCCGCCCTGGAGATTTACTCGGGTCGCCCTTACGACTTTAAGGTCGACTGCTTTGCGTGGGCAATTTGCTTTTACGAGATGCTCACACAAGAACCGGCCTTTACGACCACCACCAATGAAGAAGCATTGATTCGGGAGCATGGCTGGTGCCCTTCACTCCAAGACTGCGATTACATTCCCGATGGACTCCTGGATCTCCTCGAAGACAGCTGGGAAACCAACGTGGAGGAACGAATCAGCATGGCAGACATTCGTCGACAGCTCGAGTGGATCCTCTTTGGAACCGGCGAAGACTCGGACGAGGATACTTCTACGAATGCAGACAGTGGGGCTGACTTTTTCAGCAACACGCAAAAGAACAACAAGGCCAAGATGGAAGGCGACCTGTCCGCCTCCGAGTTCTTCTTCTTGGAAGACATGTCGGCACTTGGTTTGGACTTGAGCGAGAGCGCCAACTTTGCGCAGGCGCCGCAGCCACAAGCACAAGGTGGCCGTGGTCGCCGCGGCAGTGTGAACAGTGTCGAAGAAATCAATGCGGCACTGGGATTTAGTGGCTGCCGCAACTCGTTCCTTCCCGCCGAGCTCCTGTTGGATGCCAAGGATGCCACCAATCTAGTGCAAAAGGCAGCATCGGCTACCCCGCAACAGCAAGCCTTGGCTGCCGAGGCACTGTTGCCCAAACTCGAATACACGAGCCAGTTCCGTGGCCTGAGAATAGAAACCATCCCGCCCCCTTGCTTTGTGCCCCAGAACGTCAAGAACAAGCAAAGTCGGCGGCGATCCATGCAAAGAACCGAAATGGCGGTCTGTGCTTAGAGAGGAAATGGCAAAGCCACCGCCAATGACATCAAAGGATATACAGCTACATCCTACGTATTCCATACTATCTTGTCCAAGTAAAATAACTGAATACTGCTGTCATGTGTGTCCTCAACTACTGGTACCATGCCACGCCATGTCTAGAACCAGCGAAGTGTCGCATCAGAGCGGCCGCCTGTGCATATCTCATCTCTTTTTGTTGTTGCAGTGCTGTTGTGCTTACCACCTGCAGGTGGCGGAGTTATCTTGTTGGGTCTGGCTCCAACCAAAACATGTTGACGGGTTCTGCACTGGCTGTATTAATAGTGCTGTAGTAGCTCCCATGGGGGGCTAATTTGGTCACGTCTAACCATGTTGACCAAACAGCGAAACACTTTTGTGGCCTACCGGTATGCTATGGTGCTACCGTAGCTATAGCTACCAGCGCTGTTAGCTATCAGCTACGGTAGCTAGCTACTAGTAGCAATCACTTGCAACAGATGCATTTGTAGATATTCATACTATTTGTGGGCTCTTCCAGCCCTGGTGTGTGGTCACCAGTGTCCAGCTCGGTAAATACTGTACCGGCTAGCTAGTCTGCGGTCACTCGTGGTCACCCACGGTCAACTGTGGCTAATTTCTACTAGTACAGTAGTGAATTTGCTGCATGCATACAATGACATATCTAGCTAGATAGGGTTTCCAGGGATGACTGTACGGCAGTATGGTCAACCGTGGTCAACCGGGGAAGGTCATAATGCTGGAGCAGCAGAGCAGCACGACGCGCTACGCAAATACATGCAACTCCTCGTGCATGTAATGAGAGCAGTAAAAATGCATGATGGTCATAATTCCAAATGGAGGAGCAGCACGACGCAATACATCCTGGTAGACTACTTCGTATGCCTGTTGCCCTGACCTCTGGTGTCCATTCCCCCGCCCACTCTAACCACATCAGTGTAACACATTCATCATACTGAATTGAAAGGATCCAATACAACCATGAAGAAGGAGAAAGCAGTGCTTCCATTCTGGCAAATCTTTTTAATGGCCCTGATTGTCAGTGGAGGAACAACCATGGCCCAACAAGCTCCTTCCATCGCCATTCCTCAATTCACAAATGACACGAGTTTGAGGGCAAGGCAAAATGTCTGTGACCGCTACCAGCGATACGATCAAGGAGAAGTCGAGATGCGACAAGCTTTGGATGGGCTACAGTTGCATCCAGTGGGGATACCTAGCATGAGGTTCAAGTTGGATGATGCTGGCAAAATTGACGCTGTAAATCCTGGCTACTTCATTGTTATTCTGGATGAATTGGCCAAGCGTGCAGGATTTACATGGAGAGACAGCTTTGGAACGACCAACCGTCCGGGTGCCAACCGAAGCTTTACGGAACTCCTCGAATGGGGAACGGACTACTATGATGTCGTTGTGGGGGCTTTCGACAAGACATTAACCCGACTACAATTGGGTGTCTCCTTTCAAGAAGGAATCTTTGACAGTTCTTATATTTTGATTGGAACTGCAGAGAAACCCAGCGACCCCTCCATCAACTTGTGGCAGTGGCTGGAGCCATTCGAGACAGAAGTGTGGATCTGCATTGTGGTCACAATTTTGGCATCAGGCGTCTTGTACCAGATTCTAGATGTCCCCACACCCAAACAAACCAAACAAAACCGCAAACGAAAACCAACATTCAATGAATACCGGAAACAGCAACCAAACAATGAATCTAATCAAGACACTGATCATAGGGGGAGGAGAAGCTCAGTTAGCTCAGTTGCTGGTGCCACAGAAGCCATGTATGACGGAGCTCATACCATTGGGGATGGGATATTTCTCTCCAGCCTTCTCTTCACACAGCACTTTCAATTTGTACCCCGGACAGCCCCTTCCCGCTTATTTAGTGCATCCATGGGGTTGTGGGCTCTCCTAATATCATCCAACTATACCGCCAACCTTGCAAGCTTTTTTGTGATTGAGAACACTCCAACCATAGCCATCCAGTCAGTTGAGGATGCTATCCAAAATGGAATGGCCATCTGTGTTTGGGGAACCTCTGCCAAAGCTGAGTTTATGAAATCCAAGTATCCACAAGGAATATTTGTGGACGTTGCAGACGACCATAAGGAAATGTTCAGTGCCATTCGCAATGGGGCTTGTGCTGTTGGAGTGTCAGCTCGAGCCAATTTTGACTTTTACAAGGATCAAACCAGTGCCAATCCAGATTGTGATATGATCTGGGTTGGCCGAGTAATCAAACACGTCCCTGCCGGGTTTGGTGTCAAGGCGGACTCGGGAAAACTGTGCTCCAGTCTCATCAATGATGTACTGAATTTGCATCTTGTGGACATGGAGACTGATGGATTCATAGAAGCTGCCTGGATGGATAGCTTGTCCAAGAGTCATGACCAAAATTGTGCAGCGATGATGTCTTCTCAAATGGAAGAGGCTAGTGCAAGTCGATCCTTGAAGGAAATGGCTGGGACCTTTTTAATTCATCTGATATTTGCTGTTGCTGCCATTCTATTATTTGCTGTTACCCGTTTCTATGACAAGTACAAGCAAATGTCAGATAAATCCCGGCAAAAACTTCGACTCGGCGTGATGGGCAGCATGGTGGCAGGAGGAGTAAGACGACAAGAGGATGCGGTGGGGGCGAATCAGGTTCCACAACCTCCAGAAAGCAGTCAGTTCGACATGGACTTTGAGGAGGATCAAAGTACCAGTGTACACCATGCTGCCTCTGCTACACCAGAAGCAGCTGCTATAGGCATTGATCAAACAGCCCACCTGGAAGATCGACTGGCAGAAATGGAAGCACGCCTCGAGAGCATGGAAGACGCCACCCGTCAAAATCAACTTGACAATCGTCAATATCAATTCGACAATCGTCAATATCAACTGGATATGGAGCACAAACTGGACACGCTTGTTGAGCTACTTCAGAAACAGGACCGAAACATGCCATCAACTTGGGATTTGTAAGGACGATGTCGCCTTTTGGTAGCTGTAGATGCTCTGAGCTACTGTTTGGTTGTGGGTGTTCATGCATGGATAACTACAGTATGGAAAGTAGCTACTTGTTTTCTTTTCTAATGTAGTGGTAGTTGGTACGCATGCATTGCATGGTATATTTGCAATGTGAGTTCCTGCAACTGGTGGTGATAACCCGGTTCACGGAGTCCTTTTCGTCGCCGTGAATCCGTACACAGTCCTATCCCCGCGTCAACTTTTTGAGTGGAATGACGGGCAGCTGAATGACATTTTTGCTGGCATCTTCGGGGTTTTGCGATTTGGCCCATCGTGGTACGAGATCCGAAGCCAACCACACTCGTTCTTCCAACGTCGTCGTACGGCCGAGCGGCCCATTTCGATGCGGGTAATGTTTGAATTTGGCAATCACTTGGGCGTGTTCCAAAAAGGCCGTGGCCAATCGCTTGCTGAATTCGAGTCGTTTGACAATCTCGTAGTCACTCAGTCCTTCGTCTTGAATGGCCACGGTACTGAGTAACTTCAACAAGAGTGACACGCCTAGCTTTTGATCTTCCCAGCTCTCGCTGTGTTCCAATGGCAGCAATACCAGAAATTGATTGAGTGTCGATTTGTACGCCGTGTCAAAGTATCCCCGTTCAATGGCCAATTTGCTGGCCTTGATGGCGAGATCATCCCATTTAAAGGCATCGGGTGTCCCCCGAAAGGCCGATCGTGGAACTTGATCAAAAATGGCCACTTGGGCGAGAATCCCCCACGGCGACGTCCACTCTTCTTGTTCCTCTGGTGTCAAACCATCCCACCACTCTTCGGGCGACGTCGTCAACGCCAAGGGCGCCAATCGTTCCACCATGACATCGTCCTGATCTTCGCGTCGTCCAAATCCCCATCGTTTCATGTTGTTGCGCCAATTTTGCAAATCGACGACATCCCATCCTTCCTTGTCCGTGCAACCAAAGAAACTATTGAGAATGGACGTGACATTGAGAGCTCCGACGTGTTGTTGATAGCGCGTGACCAATGCGGCATGCCGCGTCACTTCAGTCGCCGGACGAATGGCATCCAATGCCTTGCGCAAATCACCGGGCGCTGTGAATCTATAAAAGAGTTGTTTGTTTTCAAATCCGTGATGATAGAGGACGTGATGAATGAGCCCGACGGCGTGGAGTTCCTTCATGGCTTCAATGGCTTCTTCTTTGGAACGACAGACGTGTTGTTGGACGAGAGTTGCGACGGCATCCTTTCCGACAAAGCAGTTGGGATAAGTTTTGAGCAAATGGGTACGGTCCTTGATGGAAATGACTTGTTCGGCTTTTTGGGCCATTTTGGCCAAGTCAACACCCTTCTGCTGTTCCTCTGTAGTGGACGACGACAGTGGTTGAAGTGGGCTGGTGGTGGTTGTTGTTGCTGTTGTTGTGGCCGAGGCTTCTCGGAGTGTGATTTGAAGAGCCAGTGTCAATTGGGCCTGTTGGGATCCTTCCTTGTGCGGTGCCTTCTTCTGGAATTTCTCGAGTTGTGCCTTCATTTCATCGAGGGTGGAGAATCGATACAAGTGAGTACCATCTTGAAAGCCCGCGGAATCGCCAATAGGAATCATAAAACTCCCGGCGACAAGCATTTGACATTTCATGACGGCCATGTCTCGATCGGGTGCCAATCCCAAACTGGTCAATACGTGTACGGCGTCCGAGCCCACAAAACTGTCTGGCGCAGTGACCAAGAATCGTTTGTGGGTAGAAGTTTGAATGGTGCCTCGTAGAATGTGATTGAAATCGGCAATGCAAGTTCCAATTTCCCAATCGGACGTATTGGGGATCTTTTCATCTTGCCAATAACCACCGTCCGTATCGACGGTACTTCTATCGTCGTTGTCGCTGGGAGGCATCATGGGATTTTCAATACCAATGAGAGTGATACTGGATTTTCGGGGTGACATGTTGTGAAAAAAGTGCATACTGCTGTCACTGGTTTTCTTGGTAGAAGACCAATTCGACCGCGCCTTTAAAATGTCGTCAAAACAACGCCGCAAGATCCACGCGCCTTGGGCGTAATCTTTGGATTCCGCCATTGGCATGGCTTCGTCTGTCGCGGCTTCCAGCCATTGACCCACGGTCGATTGGGCAATCTTTTCTTGCATACAGGCGTACTTGGCCGTGTCAAAGTAGACTTCGTAACAGCCTTTCGTGTCGCCTTGATTAAACAGCGCAGAGCCCTTGGCAATGGTACGGGCCAACAAATCGGACAGACTTTCCACTTGACCTTCTTCGTCACTACTATTACTCACACTACTGTCGTCTTGCGCCGCCATGATCAAGTCAAAACACTTGCGCAAGACCCACGCTCCCTTTTTCGGAGCCTTTTTCGCTTCGGCTTCTTGGAGTGCCAACAACAGCGCCTCGGAAGTCGGACTCCCTGGATTCACATTGGCAGCTTCCTTGGCGGCGATCACGTACGCATTGTAACAGCCGGCAATGTCGCCACTGTTGTACATGGGAGCGCCCAACTGAACGGCTTTTCTCACGATCGACTTGACCTGTTTGTTGTTGTTGTTGTTGTTGTTGTTGGAGGACATGGTATTACTGTATTGCTTGGATTGGCTGTACTATTAATAGCTAGTAATACGATGTAGAAGGATCTCTTTGGGTTCTTGGATCTCGGGTTTTGGATTTGTGATGCGAGAATGTTGCCAGTCAATTGGATCTTTGGGCAATGCAGCGAATAAAAGATCGCCCGAGCGGTTCCCGGAAAGATTGCTCCAGATGGAATGGAAACAACGCAGCAGAGCTGTGAAGGTACATACCAAGCCGCAGTCAACGCAGACAGCTGCTTTTTCCTTCTGCAACACGAACCCCACGTCAGTCTGCGTCGTACTGCCCCAGAACTCTCGGGGGGGTGCCTCAAATCAATCTTGTTTGTCTGAATATATCCCCAACCACCTGGATGTGGTACCCATTTGATTAAAATAGGTGGTGAACAGTGGTCAAAGGCGGTAAGGAGTGGTTAAGGCTAATAAAGGCGGTAAAATGGTGAACAGGCGGTAAACAGGCGGTAAAAAGGCGGTAACAAAGCGGTAAAACAGACGGTTGAAGGCGGTCGGAGGCGGTCGAAAGCGGTTGAAAAGGGCTAAACTTGGTTGGAGACGGTACCTAATCGCCAAACCGTCAGAAAGGTGGGGTAAGAAAGGAAGAGGCAAAACCGGTTGGTTTGAGGCACTCCCCGGGATGTCAGCTAGCTACTGTAGCTACTAGTACGAGTACTAGCTAGTAGGATGCAGTCACCATTTCGACTGTTCTTTGCTTTAAAAGCCTGACCCCGGCTGGCTTCCGTAGATAATTTCCCTACTCTAAAACCCCCGTTGATTCTTCGGAAAGAAGGAAGTGCGAAAGAAGGAAAGCAGCGAGAATTGAAACCCTCCACAATAATAGAGGTTTCGCAAAATGGAACTTTCTGCAGCCCAAATCATGGATGATGAGGAAGAGTTGATGGATATTGTGGCTGCCAGAAGCTGGGGTGACAACATAGAGGCAAAGCTCAGAAAGCTGGAAAGGCTTGAATCGGAAGCGAAACAGAGAGAGCAAGCAACGGGGGAGCAAAAGGGAAGGTCATTCCGGTCATCATGGCAGCATCCCAGCACAACAGGCAACAACTCTACGGGAGAGGAAATCAGAGAAGAAGAAAAGGAAGACCATGCCTTTATTTTGAAGGTAGTACAAGAGCAAATAAAGAATCATCGTCAAGTTACCAGCGAAACTCCTGCAGCAGATGCTGATCTAGATGACGAGCTTGCTTTCTCGCAACCAAGGTTGACAAGTGGGCAAAATCAGTCACATGATGATGCCATGCATCCAGGAGCATATGCAGCGGCCCCCGGGACTGATCTCCAGAGAACCACAACACTCAGCCGTTCATTGGTGGGGGCTACTTCTTCTTCTCATGAGCTGTCTGTTGCTGATGGAGAGCTCGGAATGCCAAGCACAAACGCAAGGAATCAAAGTATGGCAGATGACCAAGCCACCACTCCAACCGACGATATTGATGGATTGGTCGTGGCGAACCAGGTGGAAGAGAATGAAGAACCTACACAGATTGCTAGGCTGGATCATTCGCATGGGAAAAACCGATCAACCACAATGACTCTCCTGATCTCTGTACTCATTGGCAGTCTTCTCATGGTTGGAGTGATTGTTGGTTCCGTCTGTGGAGCTGGTCTCTGCAGCAACAAAGAAGGTGATGTGGAGACTCAGGCTCCCACTTCCTTTCGGTATTTTGTTTTGGAGGACATTCAGAACAGAATTGAAGAGGCTTTTGGACCCGATTATTTTCCCGAAAACGATGAGCCAGAACCCACCCAGCCAAAGTTCAAGGCTCTTGATTGGATTGTGTTTGAGGATCCTCTGCAGCTCAACCCAGATGCCAACAATGTTCTACAGAGGTTCATTGTGGTATTGACTTACTTTCAAACATCCCAAGTGAGCGATTGGCTTCATTGTGGGCCATCTACAACTGCAAACGATGCATCATGCAGGATTGAATATTTTAGTTCGGATTTATTGGGAAGTTGGTGGCTCACGGGTGTTCATGAATGTCAATGGGCAGGAATTCTTTGCGACAGAGAAAAGAACATTACGGAGTTGGTGCTGTGTGAGTGCTTTTCTAGTTTTTGTTGATGACAACAAGGACGAAAAATGCACGATTCCTGTACTTATCCTTGCCTTGCTTTCATTATCAGCGAACAATGGATTGAACGGCCCTTTGCCCATAGAACTTGCAAGTCTTCCCACACTGGAATCAATAAATTTTATGGTGAACCAACTGACAGGCAACATTCCAAGCATATATGGAAGCTTTCTTTCCCTTTCTACACTGATTCTCTCCCACAACGAGCTCTCTGGAAGTATTCCTGTGGAATTGTTTGGAAACAAACTCTCCTCCTTATCTTTCGCAAACAATTCACTAACCGGGACACTGCCCACAGAAGTTGGACTCTTTGATGGGACTGTCCTTCAATTTGGTTCAAACAGCTTGTCTGGTTCCATTCCCACAGAGCTCTTTCAAGCTAGAAGAGGAAACCGTCTTGATCTCTTTTTTGAAAACAATGAGGTTTGGCAACCTTTTCTCGAGAACCGATCCTCAGTGATCTTCAACTTTTGGTCAAGAGCCTGAACTATCTGTGATTGACAGCTCACCCTTGCCCTCCCATGTAGCTTACAGGAACTCTACCCACTGAAATTGCAGCATCCCATGGGCTTGGTCGCCTCATCGTCTATTTGCAAGGCAACCCTTTACACGGAACCATCCCATCCGAAATAGGACTTCTGAAAGGCTCTCTTTCAGAACTTCATATCAGTCGGACTAATATGGATGGCTCCCTACCAGAGGAACTCTTTACAAAGTGTACCAACTTAATTTCACTTCAGGTCTCCAACTGTGGCTTCACTGGCACCATAAGCACTGGACTCCAGCTTTTGACAAATCTACAAACCTTTGACATTTCCAACAACAAGTTCCATGGCACCATCCCAATACAGCTTTCCTCTCTGACATTTCTAAATCAGTTTATTGTGAATGGGAATGACCTTTCTGGTCCCATTCCATCATCTCTCTGTTCTTTGGCTGACCCCGGAAAGGGCGCATTTGAAGTGGCTGCTGACTGCTTGCCAAGGGATGGCACAGGCAATCCCATGATAGAGTGCTCTTGTTGCACTCTGTGTTGTGATGGTGATGCTGCTGACTACTGCCTGTCCCAGTAGAGTTTCAGTGACAACCATAGCTAGGATAAATGGCTTGGGGTTTGTGGTGGAGACTGCAGCATGCGCTGAGAGATATGCTAGCTCCCAAACCGTTTGTGACCTCAGCTTGATAGTAAGGGCAGCTAAGGGCCACCAAAAGCACCGACTCTGGCACACTGCCTTGCATTACCGATGATACATGCTAGCTGAAAATAGTAGAAGCCAAAAAGTACAGTAACACTGTGATGTTCATTTTCCACAACTCAGAAAGATTAGAACTCTTTATTGTTAGCTTCAGTAGTGTTCGCAACTCTCTTCCACAAGAGGTACTCCAGGTCAAATAAGGGGAGGCCCAGTATACCGGTACAATCCGCACTCAAGTCCACTGAAAGGAAGAAAGTGAATGAATTGGCTCCCATGGTGGTCCTCCGTTTGTCAGCCCCTGATCAGGACCTAGCTAGCTAGATTGTCCCCAATTCCGCCTCTTCTTTGCCTACGGTTTGCCGCCCCCCGGGGGGCTTCCGAACATAACTTCGCCACCGTACTCCACACCCGGTCAAAATTGTCGGGTGTCCCTTTGGTTTCTTCAGGTTTCATCGAAGGTGGGTTTCTACAGCGCGCGCTGGCTTATTTCGTTTCAAGTCATTTTGTCAAAAGATCCAAACAGCAGACAGCATCACGACGAAGTGCAAAGCAGAAGATACCTCAACAACCTTCACAATGGTGACGGCAACATCCAGCGCAAGCACTACCACTACAAGCCTTCTTATCTTTCTCGGTGTGGCAGCAGTGACTAGTTTTCTGGCGATTGCCAGCGAAGCCAAGAAACAAGAAAGCAAAACGTTGCATCGGGGAGTGGGGCGAAAGCTATCGGAAGTAGAAAAGTATGTTTCTACCAGCATTCACGTCAACATGCCACCCGCTCGTCGCATGGGAATAACGGTGGACCAGGTCATCTTGCGGTCAGACGAACAAGAAGGATTCGTCTCCTTATCCATGCCCATCCGAGGGAATACCAATGTCCATGGGAGTGCATTTGCGGGGAGTTTGTATTCCGTTTGTGTCCTTTCAGCGTGGTATACGCTGGTCATACACTTGAGAGACACTTGGGATGAAGAGCTCCTGAATCAGTGTACTGTGGTCGTACAATCTGCCGAAATCAACTACAAACGACCAGTCTGGAATACAGATGACAATGAATTCATTATCGCCACTAGTTTCTTGCCTACCAAGGACGATGCATGGAAGGCATTTGTGAAGAATTTAGAAGAGACAAGAAAAACGACCTGTAATATTTCAGGGGAAATCAAGATTGTGGGAAGAAAACCGGCAACCACAGTCAAAGCAGTAGAATTCAAGGCTTTGCTGTGTGTCATGCTGCCCAAGCTTCCAGGGGAATAAAGCAATATTAGAAAGCAACTCCACCTACTCCACAACCCCGCTACTCTGACGATTTAGTCCGGATCCAGAGTTTTCTATACAGGCTGGTTTGCTTTGCAAGTGAAACAAAGAACTATCCTGTAAATAAATTTTAAATTTATATAAATGAGCCAAAATAAACTAAATTACCAAACTTGAAGCAAAACTGAAAATGCAAATGCGAAATACCCTTTACATTAAGAGTCTTCGTTGAGTAACTGTAAGATACTTCACTTTTCTCCTCATCACAACACCATGCTCTGGTCAAGGACTACGAGACTAATGTAGCATGTAAACAACCAAACTAAGCACGTAGAATTGTCTACATTCTTTGCTTGTTGCAGCCATGTGCTGGTTGTAGTGGTAACAGCTATGTAGCAGGCATTATCTTATGTCAAATTAGATGCTTCATTCTTCTTCCATATTTCCCCAAGTTCTCAGCTTCACCTTTATTTCGGACTGTGCCACCCTTCTGCTATCAACGCAATCATATCTATTGATCTGATGGACACATTGTAGTCCATTAGGGAGCATCATACCACTGAAAGTGAGTTGGATCAACGAGTTAATAGCGTCTTCCGTTCGACGACGGCCGGTTGACGACGTTGGATGGCTGGCTCCTCTTTAGTAGTCCTCGACGATCTTGTAGGAACAGCAGATTCACTCTGGGCAGTCTCCAGGCTTCCTTGACTGCATAGGTGTATATATGACTGCAATGGTATGGCTCGGTTCGACCGGAATTGGGATCTAAGATCAGCTGGAGGCTGTTGGCACCAATCGAAAAAGCAAAAATGAGTTCCCCACTTTGCTAGTCAATGTTCACTTCCAAGACCACCAAATGGGCAAGCCACTACCACCACTGCGACCGTCACATCCAAATTATGTATTCCCTATCTCAAAGTATTGCTAGGGTGGCTCTATTGGTTAAAATGCTAGGGCATCTTTGACAGCCAAGGTGGTGTGTTTTTTGATGAGGATGTGTCCAGGCAGGAACAAGCAGTTACTGTGTTCACCAGATGATTCTGGGCGATCCAGAGCAAATCCGGATTTTTTTGAAAATCCGGACCTTTTCGTCAGAGTAGCCCGTATCAGCTAACGAGTGTCACTCGTACTCGTTCTGGCAGGCGCCAGATACCAAACGGCATCTACAATACAATCTGTTCTAAATAGGTTACAGAGACGGTGCCGTGTACAATATGAAATATGTAGCTATGTATCTCAGTTTTTAAACAAATATCGTATCACTATGAACCCGAACAAGTACAGCCACAGTCAGTGCTGCACTGGACGGTTTCACAGTCAACCACCAAGGTTTCCAATCCGAGTTGGCAAATCTCTTGGGGCATAGAGCCAGTCAGGCTATTTTGATGCAACCAAAGGTGCTTCATGTTGCTCAGGAATCCGAGTTCAGTCGGAATCGGTCCCTGGAGGGCATTGTTATTTAGGTAGAGCTGAGTGATGGTTCTGGCATTACCCAGCTGGCTAGGGATGGAGCCACCGATTTGTGTTCCGGTAATCGATAGCTCTTCGATGTTCATGAAGCGTCCAAAGTCCGATGGGACGGAGCCAGTCAATCCGCTGTTGTCCTCCAGGAGAAGGACTTTCAACGCAGTCATGGCATGCAGTTTCGATGGCAGCTGTCCTTCCACTTGAGTGTCGGACAGGTCAAGCCATTGAAGGTTGGCGGAGAGCAAACCAAACTCGGACGGAATGGAGCCACCAAGGCCGGTTTCGCTCATCATGATGGTCTGGGCACTCGTGAGGAGGCCAATGTCGCTTGGGATATCCCCGGAGATCCCGGGGTTGTGGTCCACGTGGAAGCCCTCGATAGAGCTTCCGGTTCCAGCCAAGAAGAGCTCTCGAGGAAGAGCACCCGTGAAAGAGTTGTACGAAAGATCCAAAAGGCTCAACGTATTCATGCAACCCCAAAGCTGTGAAGGAATAGGACCGTTCAAGTTGTTGTTGTCCAAGGTCAGGTACTGGATGGAATCCAATTGCCCAATGGCCTCGGGCAAGGTTCCACCAATTTGATTCTTGGAGAAGGAGATCTGTTCGGCTTTCGCGAGGAGACCAATTTCGCTTGGGATTTCGCCGGACAGGGTGTTGTACTCGATGAGCAAGTTGGTCAATGTCTCATTCAGAGAGCCAATCTCTGATGGGACGGCGCCGTTGAAGGCATTGAAGGACAAATCAAGGAAGGCAATGGAATCCAAGGCTCCCACCTCGGTAGGGATCTTTCCGTTGAAGAGATTCTCTCGGAAGCTGAGAGCTTTTGCCTTTCCAAGCCGACCAATTGTGGTCGGAAGCATGCCGTCTAGGCTGTTGCCTTCGACAGACATGCGTTCCAAAGAGCCAAGGTTTCCAAGTTCTTTCGGTAGGCCTCCAGAGAACTTGTTCTTCATGAGGAAGAGGTCTGCAAGGTTTGGCAGCTGCCCGAGCTCGCTTGGGATTGGACCGCCAAAGTTACTGCCGTGGAGATCAATAACAGCGGCATTCCTCCACGAACCCATCGAAGAAGGCAATGTGCCACCCAATCGAGGATTCATGTTCATCGAGAATACCCACATGGCTGCCACAAGAGCGACCTCTTCGGGAATGCTGCCATCGAGATTATTCTCATCAAGATCGACATTGTCCACAATTCCGTCGTCGTTACACACCGAGGTACTGGACTGAGAGAACCAGTCACAGGGGCTGATTTCGTGGGTGAGCCAGAGATCGTTGACAGTCCACGAAGCACCGTTGGTGGCAAAGTACAGGGCAGCCAGTCCGTATCTTGATAGTCGCTGCTCCAAGGAAAGAGACGAAGCGGCCGGATCTTGGAGATCCCATTTGTACGCTTCAGCTTGAGGGGAGTTGGGATTTGCAAGATTCTCTCGTGCAAAACTTGGTAGCATGCCGTAGAGGTCACCGAGCACCCAACCAGACTCGTTGAAGACGTAAGAAGGAGCAGGTGTTGCCATGAAGTCAATACCGTTTCCATCTCCGCGGCTTACAGCAGGTCTCGGTTCCACACACTCGCAATCACAGAAGCAGTTGACCTTGCCGCAGTCAACCGAGATGGTCTCCACACTACCAGTCTCTTTCAGCTGGCACAAAGAGAGCGGCACTTGTCCACTCAAGTCATTGTGATGGAGCAACACTTCCTTCAATGAAGTCATGCTACCAAAGATATCAGGAATGCTACCTGACAGGCTGTTGCCGTCCAACGCAAGGACTGCAAGCTTGTTCAGCTGACCGAAAGACGTGGGGATTGGTCCAACAACAGACGTGTTTTGGATCCACAGTTCGCGGAGATTCACCATGTCGCCCATCTCATCTGGCAGGACACCATTCACTGCGGCATTACCACTCAACGAGAACCGCCCAACCCGGACAAGGTTGCCCACTTCGGTTGGAATATTTCCCGCGAGTTCGTTTTGACTGAAATCGATCACACCAACGTTCGTCATATTTCCAATCGCTGCAGGAATACGTCCGGCGATCTTGTTGCTCCTCAGATTGAGCTCCGCTGCACCAAGGTCGCCAATAGCCGTGGGGAGTTCTCCAGTGAACTGGTTGGAGGACAGATCAATCTTGCGAGCACCAGTCAAATCCCAAAACTCTTCAGGAATTGCACCGACAAATTGGTTGTTGGAAACATCGAAGACACTGAGTCCTTGGAGAGCGCCGATTTCCGAAGGCAAGGTTCCAAAGAAGGAGTTGGACGAGATGATGAAAGTTGACAAGCCACGAAGCTGTCCCACCTCCTCGGGAAGGCTCGAGTTGAACTTGTTATTGCTCAAATCGATCATGTCGGCCATGAGCATGCCACCGATTCCTGCGCCCAAGGCACCAGTGAGGTTGTTGTTGGCAAGCAGCAAATCCTTGATTCCGGTCAATCCATCAAACTCCAAGAGGCCAGTCAGCTGGTTGTTAGACACATCCAAAACTTCAAGACCAGACAAACTCATGATCGAGTCAGGAATTGAGCCTTCGAAAGAGTTGCTTCCCAATTCCAAGGCACGAAGGGTGTCTAGCAATCCGAATTCGCTTGGGATCTCCCCTTCCAACAAGTTGTTACCGGCCTTGAACATCTTCAGGTTGGTCATGAGTCCAACCGCCGAGGGGAGCTCACCAGAGAACTCATTGGAATTCAACCACACACGTTGAGCCTTTGTCCAGGAACCAATCACTTCAGGAATGCTTCCACCGAGGTCATTGTTGTGGGCATAGAAGTTGACCATGTTGATCAAGTTACCCATCTCAGTTGGGAGCTCCCCTTGTAATTCACTGCCATCCAGCTCCAGGTACAGGAGGTTTGTGAGCAACCCAATGGTGGAGGGAAGGTCACCTTGAAGAGCATTACCACTCAAGTCAATCTCACTAAGAGTCACCAACACACCAATCTCCTCTGGAAGCTGCCCATACAGAGAGTTCTCAGACAGATGCAAAGTGGTGTACATGCCAGCATCATTGCAGACATTATCATCCACTAGCGACGATGCCCAATCACAGACATCCACCTCATAGGACAACCAGTGTTCGTTATTGTTCCAGCGCTCACCGCTTGTGGAATAGTACAAGGATGCCAAAGCAAAACGTTGCAACCGTTGGTTAATGGTGTGCTCATCAAAGTTAGGATCGGCGCCCAACCAAAAGAGAGCCTGGGCTTGAGGAGAGTTGAGACCCGCAGACCTGGAGAAGGAAGGCAAACTCTGTGTCTGAAACTCATCAAAGGTCTGCACGTTGGCCTCGTTGGACGGAGCTTCCACAGAAAACGAGGGTGCGCCGCGGGGAGGGATTTCATCCACAGGGTCAGCACCGCAGTCACATCCACAGGTGCACTCCATCTTGTCACAGTCAATGTTGATCTTCTTGAGGTTTCCATCTTGAAGCATCTGGCAGATTTGGAAGGGAACGCTTCCGCTCATCTCGTTATCGTACAACCAGAGAACCTCCAAGTTGGACAAGAGACCAACAGATGTCGGTAGCGTTCCAGTTAGCTTGTTTCCATTCAGATACAATTTAGTCACATTGCTCAAAAGTCCAAGCTCTGTTGGGATGGAGCCGGTCAACGTGTTGTTAGCCAACGAGACTTGAAGAGCATGAGCCAAGTTGAAGAGCTCGGGTGGAATGGATCCCGACAACTTGTTGGTCTCGAGGAACAAATCCTTCAATCCAGTCAGCTGTCCAATAGTGCTGGGAATGGGACCGGAGAGACTGGCATTCATGAGGGACATGAAATACAGATTGGTCAATTCACTAATAGCAGACGGGATGGTTCCCGTCATGTCCACATTGTCTTCGAGCTCCACCCATCCCAAGTTGGTCAAGAGCGAAATTTCCATGGGCAACGGACCAGCAAGAGCATTCTCACGCAAGTTCAAGGAAAGATAGGCATCATCTTCGTCGCAGGTGGAAGCGAATCGCGACCACCACTCGCATTCGTGCACTTCATAGGACAACCAGTTGCGGTTGCGCTCCCAGTTACTCTCACCACCAGTCGCAAAGAACAAGGTGACGAGAGCAAACTTTTGTTGCTCTCGTTCCAAAGCATTCAACAGAGCACGCTCATGCTGTGCATGTTGCTTGTCCAACGCCCGACGAAGACCACCACTTCGCTGAGTAATGGCCGTGTTGGAAGAGGACGTGAAATCACCCGCGTTGGGATGATTGTACAACCAATTCCATGCCATGGCTTGAGGAGAGGCATCATCGTTTTGGATAGCTTGCTGTGACTCGAGTGGCAGCGAGTCAAAGACGGGACCACTGGGAGGAGCATCGGGCTTGCTGGTATCGTAAAAGGGTCTTGTGTCAACGGGGACGATTTCTTCCGTCACACATTCGCACTGACAGTCACAGTCCACCTTGTGACAGTCAATGGTCAACTTCTTGAGGGCCCCAATTTCAAACAATCCACAAATCTCATCGGGCATGCGTCCGGTGAGACTATTGTTGTGGAGCGTCAACGTCTCCAGCCGAAGGTACAATCCAAGCGTGGTAGGAATGGGTCCACTGAGAGCATTATTGTCCAAATACAATCGACGCACGCCATTGAGTGCCTGTCGCGACTCGGCCACGGCCGCCGAAAACAGCGTCATGCTGTTGGACGACTCTTCTTCTCCCTCGCGCTCGTAAAATGCCGGATTGGGGATGGTTCCCGTCAATCGATTGTGATCCAAATAGAGCTCTTCCAAATCTTGCAATTGAGGATTCTCTTCGGTCGATGCCAAGGCAAACAGTTCCGGCGGAATACTTCCCGTCAATTGATTGCCATGCAACCACAACGATGTCAATTGACTCATGACGGCAAACTCGGAGGGCACCCTTCCTGTCAATGCATTGCGATGCAAATAAATGGCATCGAGTTGCTTGGCCAATTTCGTGAGTTCGGTAGGAATCTTGCCGCGAATACTGTTGCGGGAAATTTGAATCTTGGTCAATCCCTTCATGGTGGCCATTTCGGTCGGAATAGTCCCGGTCAGTCCTGGATTGTTATTGAAACTGAGGAGGAACAAGGAATTGGTCATCATGGCAATTTCGGGTGGAATAGTGCCGAGGAGTCCATTGTCATTCAAGACGAGACTTTCATCACCTTCTTGAACGGTCAAGACGGGATCTTCTTCGCGCAACAAGTCTTGGAGTGCCGGTGCTTCTTCTTCTTGCTCTTGGGCGACAACAGGAGCATCCGTTTGAACAATCGCGGGGTTGACTGTGCCATCGGGAGACGGCGTCGCGATAAAGTTGGACGCACCAGTCGTCGTCGTCTCGGGTGGTGGAGTCGCAATAAAGTTCGAAGCACCCTGGGATGCCGTAGGCGCAGGCGCTGGAGTAGAGATAAAGTTGGACGCACCGGTACCGCCACCTTGAGACGAGGAACTCTTGGGAGCCGGCGTGGGAGGCATGGTACTGCTTCCATCGGGAATCAGATTAATGAGTCCCCGAAGGTTGCGTCCTCCTCCAGCATTCTTGTTCAAGGAGAGCCCACCGACAATGCCACCGCTGCTTCCTCCACCAACGTCACCGCCGGTGCTACCGCCAGTAGTGCTTGCGCCGCCAGTAGGAGCAGCATTGGAGTTATCCAATGTGGCCGTGTTGGACGTGGGAAAGGCCACGCCAGTAGTGGTGGCACCACCACCACCACCACCTCCATTGGATGTCAATCCTTGTTCGCGGGCCCACTGTTTTTCTTGCGTCCGATTAGATCCACAATTGTATCCCGCCCAAACACATTCGGTATGATGCTTCAACCAATTGCTGTTATCGGTCCACGCGGCCCCACCCATGGCAAAGTAGAGCGTCGCGAGTGCGTACCGATTGTCTTGTTGTCCGGCCGTATAATTGTCTTGTTCCGCCGCAACATCATCATTCAAGATCCACGTATACGCCAATGCTTGCGAAGATGCCGGATTGGTTTCAATGGCCGTCTGGGTATACTGTGGCAAATGACGAAGTGGATAGCGTTCGGAACTGTCCACTTCTCCCACGACAATGAGATTGCCACCCGAATTGTCTTTCCAAACGAGAAAGTAGAGGCACAGAATCGTGGTCGTAAAGACCACCACCAACGCCAGTATACAATAACACAAACACGCGGCGCGCGATTGATAATACAATATCGCTTCTTCATCTTCTTCCGCTTGTTGTTTGCGTTGTTGTCGCTCTCGTAGAATCGTCTGTTGCTGTTGTTGGGCCAATTGCTGTTCGTCCAAAAAGGCCGAACTGCCATCCGATGAGCGTTCGTAATTGTCATTCGAGTCTTGCGACGAGGCGTCATCGTCGTCGTCCGTGTGAAGATCATCGTCGGTATCGTAGCGATTGCCAAAGGCATCAAATTCGGGTCGTGCTGCCGCCAGATCGTCGTCGGTGCCATCGTCGGAACTCTCTTCGCCCCTTGTAAAGCCGGCCATGAAATTCCAAGTAGCGGGTGCGGGAGCATCGTCATCCTCATTGCCGTCGTCAATGGGGACTTCGTAATCTTCTTCCAATTCACTTTCGTCGTCTTCTTCACTGTCATAGTCGTCATTGTCAACAGGTGCCTTTGCCTTGGTAACGCCTGTTTTGGTTTTGGCGGCTTGCGTTTGTTGATAGTAGTCTTCTTCCGTCTCGCTCTCTTCATCCTCTTCATCGTCGTATTCAAATCCCAAATCGTCAGGAGCATATGTGCGCGCCACTGGCTTGGTTTCATTCGCCACTTGTTCTTTGTCCGAAGAATCATCATCATCATCACTAGCAATGGCCGTCATGGTGGCAGCAGCATGCGGTTGATCCGTCTCTTGTCCATCTTCTTCCGTTGTTTCCATCAATGCTTCGGCATCTTTGGCGGCTTGTTCCGGCGTTCGTCCATCGACCATCAAGACACCGCCACTTGTACTCTCCTTTTGCGCCATGGTCTGCGTCGTTTGAATGGTGGAATACGAGAAATGAGACTTTTCGTCCTTTTCTTCTTCTTCTGCGTTGTTGTTGTTATTGCTGTGACTATTGCCAAAGTGATCGCTCAAGGAGGGACGTGCGGCTGGTGGTGGTTCTTGAAAGGGCACGGTCGTATCATCCACAGTCGTATCTTCTCCTCCTCCTTGAGCACCGCCAAAAGGCACGGAGGATTCATCATCGTCATCTTCGGAATCAGTGTAATCACCGAGGCGACGGAGCGGTCCTTCCTCCGCGTTGGCCGACGAGGAAGCATGCGTGATGGTGTCGTTCTCGCGGTCCATCTTGTCTTATAGCTAGTAGTAAGTAGTGTAATGGAATGGATATGGCGAATGGGGTTGGAGTAACAAAAGCTCAGTGTGGCTCTATCTCTCTCGCAATGAAATATGAGGCTGGGCTAACTCTAGCTAACTCTGTAGAGAGGCTTGACTGAGCACTCTTGTCTGTTTTGATTTGGTGTCTTGTTGTAATACAGGCAACAACCACAGTGCCGCTGCTGCTGCAATGTCCAGGGTTCAATGCAACAAGCGCACAGAGCACAACGATACAGCAAGAGCTTCTGTCTGTCTTTCTTGTTCCAGGCAACAAGCAACAGCTCACCAGCAAACAAGCAAAACAGACACACCGGTTTCAACAGTGCATACACTTGCCTCAACCATTTTCACACCAAAATTACATGGCAAATAATTGCGGGAATGCAATGTATTCCGAAATTGAACCGAAATTGATTTTTCTACAGTGAGTTTTCACCCGATTGAACTCTTATAAGCAGCTACCGTACTGTATCCAAAGGGTTTCCACTTGCATCATACTGGTTACTGTGGACTGCAACGCTGTGCTAGCTTGATACAGTACACTGTACTTTCATGGAGAGAGATGACTATTGCAGTCTGGTAGATGACACTCATAGTATTACTGTAGTTTGTGCTGTGAATACCGTAGAAGCTGAGAAAGGAGGCTCCGTATCGGTAGAGGTGCAAGAAGCAGCGCTAATACAGTAAGGCACAATACAGTTACACTCTACCGTATGGTAGCTACGGTATGTACAGGTAGCAGACACAGGCGGCCTCCAGGCTTCACGCTTCATGGAGTTCTGCATGGTTGTCCCAGAGAATCGTTCGAATCGAGCGAATCTTAGCCGCATTACCAGGATGTTTGGGGCAAGAACTGGCCTGTTGGCAACGTCTCGTATGGTAGTCTTGATTGCTGCCGATATACAGACTGTACAGTACTGTACTGCTGGTAGTGTACGGTATCAAACGCAGAGATGCCTGAATGTTTATCAGATCCAAGCCTCCCATGCCAGAGTTCTGGGTACTAGGGAAGAAATATTCGGTTTCTAACAATCCGAAACCCATTATTCTACTTTTTCCCGCGATATTCCGAAACACAACGTTTCAGATGGGGTCTTGGTTGATTGCCAATGAGAGTTAAAGACATGACCCGATCATCTCAAAACAAAATGTCCGTTTTTAAATCTGATCGTGGTTTGGTCATTCTACGCTGGAATGCAGTCTCGCAAATCTTGTAATTATTTATTTCAATGCCTTGACCAGGTGCTTACAACAATCTAAATATGGGTCCCGAATGCCTATTTTTGGAAGCCACAAGATATAAAGACATCTATTGCGCTTATCCCTTTCGACAGACACTGTTCAAGACACCATCTAAACATGCTTTTGGTCGCTTCATTCACCAGCTGGCCGAATGTCCGACCGAATGGAATGCGATCTTTCGCATCACAATAACCCTTCGGTTAGTTAAGGCTAACCTTTCGGGCAGAGAAAGGGTTACAGACTGAGAAAGATCCAGCAACAGCCATGAGACAAAGCATGGCACTCGCACCCATCACAAGGAAGAGGTCATTATTATTGCAGCTACGGTACCAGCCAGAAGCCATCATCATCTCAAAACGTACTTTATTGGAAGTCAACAACAAGAATACAACCAACGAGATGATCCGTCGAATGCGTCAAAGTCCCATAGTTTTCCTATGCCTCCTGGTGTCCCTCCTTGTTGGACAGGCGAATTCTGCCGAAGAAGAAGCGGCTCGACCAAGCGTCACCCTCACCATCTGGACAACGCCCAACAAGGACTGGCACAATGAATTATTAAAAAATGTCAAAGGCATCGTCAGTCGTTTCATGGATCTTGATCATGTTTTGATATTCGAGCCCGAGTTTTACATCCATGATGCTCACTCGGTGTGCCATGATGTTGGGAAAGAATGCCCCGGGAACTGCCTCTACAACGGCCGCTACTGCCGATCACAAGGAGGCGAGGAGGATGAGCAGTACCAAGAGGTCCTTGGATTTAAAATTGTGGCAGAAAGTGCTAGACGCAAATGTATCTGGAAAATTGCTAGCAAGAATGCGAATCCAATGCTCTATTTTCAATATCTGGAAGAACTGGAATCATCGGAATGTGATATACAGCTTACAAAAGAGTGTTTGGCAAAAGTTTATGGCAAGGTGGGGTTGCAAGAAAAGGAAGTCAATCAGTGTACTTATGGCACTGACGATGCCCATGACAATACGCATGAAGATGTCATCAACCCCGTCCTGCAAGAGCAAACAGCACTTCAAAGAAAGTGGTCAATCAGGGATCGGGCCCTGCCCCAAGTATTTGTCAATGGACATGAGGTGTTGAATGAACAAGATCTATCAATGGTGTCCATATTTCAGGCAGTTTGTCAAGCATTTCCAAATGATTCCATTCCACAGGCATGCACAGTCTGTCAGTGTGGATCTTCTGCGGATGATAATCTTGTCGAAGCTTGCTTGAAGGATCTTGTGTGCCAGCAAGAGCAAGAAGAAAATTGGGTATTTAAGTCTAGCAGCAATGCTTTGATCACCGACACTCCACCAACTGGAGCTGCTGTCGCCCCAACCGCAAGTCCATCAACAATAGCACCTTCTACTAGTCCAGTAACAATCTCCCTGACAATATGGACAACACCCAACAAGGATTGGCACAATGAATTGCTCAAAAGTGTCAAAGGAATCGTCAGTCGTTTCATGGATCTTGATCATGTCCTGATATTCGAGCCCGAGTTTTACATCCATGATGCTCATTCTGTGTGCCATGATGTTGGAAAAGAATGCCGGAGGAACTGCCTCTACAACGGCCGCTACTGTCGATCACAAGGAGGCGAGGAGGATGAGCAGTACCAAGAGGTCCTTGGATTTAAAATTGTGGCAGAGAGTGCTAGACGCAAATGTATCTGGAAAATTGCTAGCAGGAACACCAATCCAATGCTCTATTTTCAATACCTGGAAGAACTGGAATCATCAGGGTGTGATTTACAGCTTACCAAAGAGTGTTTGGCGGCAGTTTTTGGCAAGGTGGGGTTGCAAGCACAAGAAGTCAATCATTGTACCTACGGCACTAACGATGCCCACGACAATACACATGACGATGTCATCAACCCCATTCTGCAAGAGCAAACAGCACTTCAAAGAAAGTGGTCAATCAGGGATCGGGCCCTACCCCAAGTATTTGTCAATGGACAAGTGGTGTTGAATGAACAAGAACTTTCTGTGGCATCCATGTTTCAGGCAGTTTGTCAAGCATTTCCAGATGGTTCCATTCCACAGGCATGCATGGTCTGTTTGGATCATTGTGGATCTTCTGCGGATGATAACCATGTCGAAGCTTGCTTGAAGGATCTTGTGTGTCATCAGGAGGAAGATTGGGAAATTGAGTCTACCAACATTACTGTCACCGCCAACAACACTCCAACAACTGGGGCTGATGTCACCCCAGCCACAAGTCCATCAACAATAGAGCCTTCCACTAATCCAGGAATAGTCTCCTTGACAATATGGACTGCCCCTAACAAAGACTGGCACAGTGAGTTGTTTAAGGGTGTCAAAGAAATTGTCAATCGTCTCATGCATGAAGACCACGTGATGCGCTTCAACCCAGAGATGTTCATTCATGATGCCCATGCAGTTTGTCACGATTCTGGCAAAGACTGTCCCCAACATTGCCTTTACCGTGGCCGCTATTGTCAGATCCCAGGTGGTGAAGATGATGAGCATTATCAGAATGTTTTGGGATTCCCCATGGTGACAGAAAGTGCCAGGCGCCAATGTATATGGGAGATTGGAAGCAATCGACTTGGCAATCCAATGGTTTACTTTCAGTACATGGAAGAATTAGAGTCATCTGGATGTGATGCACAACTCACCGCAGAGTGCCTGAATGGAGTCTTTGATAAGCTTGGATTGCACGCATTGGAAGTCAATCAGTGCACCTACGGCACTGCAGATGGCAGTGACAACACACATGAGGATACTCCCAATGAAATACTCAATCGGCAAGCAGATTTGCAAGGACAGTTGCCCTTTAATGCCAGAAACCTCCCCAAGGTACTGGTCAACGGAAAAGATGTCCTCAATGGGGAAAAGTTGTCAATAGTATCTATACTCGAAGCCGTTTGTGAAGCATATCCAAAGGAAATGGTTCCTGATACATGCTCCACTTGTTTGTATAATTGCCAGTCTTCTTCTGATGCTAGTCATCTGGAATCCTGTCTGAAGGATCTTGTCTGTCATCAGGAAGCAGACTGGGAGAAGGAAGGACAAGGAGAAGCTAGCACAGCTTCCAATGCTGTCTCCGCAGTGATGGCGTCAACAGCAGTACCGACAGCAGTACCGACAGCAGTACCGACAGCAGTACCAACAGCAGTACCAACAGCATCAACAGTTGATGCTTCTGCAGCCATCACACTTACCATCTGGACAACACCCAACAAGGATTGGCACAATACACTATTCAAAAGCGTGAAGGAAATTGTCAGTCGTCTCATGGATCAAGATCATATTCTCCTTTTTGAACCCGAGTTCTACATCCATGATGCTCATGATGTCTGTCATGACAAAGGAAAACACTGCTCAGAAAACTGCCTCTATCAAGGACGTTACTGTCAAACTGGAGGAGGCGAGGATGATGAGCATTATCATGATGTCCGTGGATCTATCTTGGTGACAGAAAGTGCCAGGCGCCTTTGTATTTGGGGCATTGCTAGCAAGAAAGCCAATCCAATGGTGTTTTTTCAGTATCTGCAAGAACTGGAATCATCAGGGTGTGATGCACAACTTACAACGGAGTGTTTGGCAGCAGTTTATGGAAAGGTGGGGCTGCAAGCAAGCAAAGTCAATCAATGTATCTATTCTACTGCAGACGGCCATGATAATGCACATGAAGATGTCATCAACCCCATCCTGGAAAAACAGGCATCATTGCAGGAGAAACTACATTTCAATCATTTAGAGCTACCAAAAGTACTCATCAATGGGCAAGCGGTTCTGGACGACCAAGCAGTCACCACAGCTTCTATCTTTCAAGCCATTTGCCAGGCATTGCCTAATGATTCCATGCCACCGGCCTGCACTGTCTGTTGGGAGCAGTGTGAATCTTCAAATGGTAGTTTTGTGGAGGCTTGCTTGAAAGATCTCAGTTGCCGCGAGGAGAAACACGACAAGACCGTCGGTGGTGAGACAAATCATGAAAAAGCAGGAGATGGTGCCACGACAAACATTTCCGGAGAAGCAGCCGAGAAGCGGAGCTCGAGCGATCATGCAAGTGAGGCTCAAGATGCCGCTTCGCTTTACGACGCCACCTCTGGATTCGCCAAATTGACAGATCTACTTGGTAGTCGCAAGATTTACACCTACCAGATGTTTCAGGCGTGCGGAGTTGATTTCAACAATCCAGGACCTTTGGTTTCCGCCATTCAGAAGGATGATTTGGAAGCTTTCGTCAGTGGAGTGGATGATTGTACAAAAGACGGGTCGGACCAGTTTGTCAATGCCTGCAATCGATTTGAACAATGTGCCGGATTTGACTTTCTTGAGTTTTCCGAAACGAATGCCCATGCTTTAGGAAAGTCCTTTTTTGGATGCTTACATGCATTTGCCGACAAGGACATCGGCCGTGACGTTGCTGTCGAACGGTGCACGGGTTTGACTTTCAACACTGGATTATACAAATCGGTGCGTCATTTTTTGGAATACAATGATAAGATCTGCCCCTGTCTACCACAGCTACAAAAGAACATTCCGGAATGTATCTTCCAACGAGACCGTGGCGACGATACCACTGTGCTGGATGGACCCGCTGTGCAGCTGTCGACCTGTCTCCTGGGAGAGTTGTGTCAGAAAGTCGACTCCTTGTGTCGAGAAGAGGTCGCAGATTTGAACGCATGTTTGCCGTCGAAGGACGACAAGAGCAAATCTTGCAAGACGATCGAGAAAGACTGCCAAGAGAAAGGCGCACTCTTGTTTCTCTCTCCGCCCCCCATGGCTGGTGCTTCATTTCCGAATCGATGCCAACAAATTGCGACGAAGGGAAAGCACCGAGACGCACACATCATTGAACGGTATAATTCCTACCGACAAAGATGCGTATTGAAAACAGAAGACACTTCGTTCCGCGACTTTGGTTCACCGGATGACGAAGTGACAGCGTCTTCTTCTACCGAGAGCCATTCCGGCTCATCTCATATTCGGTTTGCAGGTGGAATGATGATTCTGGTGATTCTGGTAGTGTTGGGCATACTAGTAGCGATATGCTTGCGTCGAAGGCAAAGAAATGTAAAACATGAATACTCTCAAATGGAGATGCCACCCTTGGGCGCTGAGCAGGACTTTCCCAACGGTGGCGAACCTGATTTCGATGACGATGACGAGGAACAGCATGGACCGTATCGAGACGCAGTCGACGAAGCAGCAGAGCACCAACTATATCGAGACGAAGTTGACTGCGATCCAGCCTACTGAGCGTGGGTCTCTTTTGTAGTAGAGGCCGCCGACGGTGGACGCTGCATGTGTGACGCGAATACAATCTAAACGACACATATCACACGAGAGGGGCCATTGCCAATGCTGGGCTCCATGCTTCTCCTTGAGCCGATTTCACGTCCTACGCAAGATGGGTCGGTCATCGTGCCAGATCAAGGTTGAAGCAGACTCCAACACCCACGGAGCACGGAGGTCGAATCAACTGCGCCCTCAGCTCGAATATGTATACGCACGCATCTAATGTTATTGCCAAATTGTATCAATGATCCCAGCCCGCTTTCGTTTCTTCGTTGTGGGCCACCAAACGGGCACTCCCACCCGTGCTGAAGAAGTCAAAAGCTATGGCATACCATCGTCGTTGAAGGGCACCGCCTCTGGACACAAGCAAACCCCATGTTCGGCGTCCGTACCCAAGCAAGCGTTGTCGCTGCACTTGACATTCTGGCAGTCAAGGCTCAGTGTACTCAGCTTCCAATCAGAGACAAGCTCACAAATCTCCCCCGGCATTTCCCCAGTCAAATCCGGATTCCCTTCCAATGCCAAAACGACAAGATTTGTCAGACTGCCCAGTTCTGACGGAACTGTTCCTGTGATGTTGTTGTATCTAACATCGATGCTTAAAGACTGACTGGTAGACAATTGACCAAGTTCAGAAGGGAGAGTCCCTGTATCGAGATATGCAAAGATAGATGTGCAGTGCTTGAGACAAAAGAAGCCCAACTTCTTGAGAAATGATAACACGGGAAACTCACCCGAGAACATGTTGTGGCTGGCGTGCAAAGCAGCCATCTTGTTCAACAGCCCAATCTCAGTAGGAACTGGACCTTCCATCTGGATATCCAGCGATGAAAAGTGAGCAACGCGAATTGTATGCCTGCAGCCCAAACAGTTGGCTCATGGAGCATGTCTTACCCAGTTGCCATAGAGATTGAACCAATGAAGATGAGCCAGCTTGCCTGCTTCTGTTGGCAGGGTTCCTGAGAGAGCATTTGCGGCAACGTTGAAGCCTTTAGCAGTCACAATGTTGAAAAGCTCTGTGGGCAGTGGACCAGCCAAGAAGTTGTGATTTAGGTACAAATTCTCGAGCTGAAGAAGACCAAGCTCGCTGGGTATCTGTCCCGCAAAGTAGTTTTCGCTCAAGTCCAACTTTTTCAGCTTCGTTAGTCCCCCTAGTTCCGAAGGGAGGGCACTTCCCACAGAGCAGTGCATCATGTTCAATACCCTGAGAGAGTTGGAAAGGAATGCAATCTCAGACGGCAAAGACGTGATGTTGTTAACGCCTAGAAAGATCTTCTCAACAGAAGTCAACAGAGTGACCTCTCTTCGTAGTTTCATTGAGTCAGTGATGTGTGAGAAAGGAAATGAGTCGACGGTCTGCCAAAGTATAGGTAAGCATTGCGTGGCGAGACCAGCAGCTTCACTTACGGAGGCAAGGGTCCGACTAGATTGTTTTGCCACAACATGAGGTCCGTCAGATATCGATCCCCATCTTCTCCCGTGTCACTACTACAGATATCACCACTAGTATAAGACGTGAACCAGTCGCACTCATGGACCCCGGGATCAAGCCAGTCGTCGTTTTCAAACCAGTCGGTGCCGTTAGTTGAGTAGAATATCGTCGCCATTGCTGTTGCCAAAAAAGACGAGGTTTGAGTATGCCATTGGGTTTTCTTGGTGCTGAAGTACGTGCTGAGGCTACTCACCATATCGCTGTAACTTCCTCTGGAAGCTGTATTGACCCAGGTCAGGGTTAGTCTGAAGCCATTCCAAAGCCATAGACTGTGGTGTGTCGGGATCAAGCAAGGCTTCCTTGGTGAAATCGGGTAGCTGCAACATAAACTCAGCAGCCACCACTGGGACATCATAATTTCCCGATTCCTCTGTAGTTCCGGTCGGTGGAGTCGTCACTGTCGCTGGTGCAGGGGTGTCTTGTTCCTCTAGTTCGTCATCTTGTTTTGGAGACGCTGTTGGCAGCGCTGAATGTGACGGTGCAAACGATGTGGAAGGGCGCAACGTGGTTGAGAACGCAACAACGGATGTCGACGTTGGCCACGGCTCTGGGAACTGAGTATCCGTCGGGAACACCGTGGGCACCTCCGTCTCCAACGCAGTGGGCTCACCTGTTGTCTGCCCCGTAGGCACTCTGGTTGGGTTTCTTGTGGGGGCGCCTGTAGAAATGGGCGCCGCAGTGCTTGGTGCTCTTGTTGGCCTTGTTGTTGGTGCACTTGTAGAGACATTTTCCGCTGCAGATGTCACTGGCGCTGGAGTGGATTGGGACTGCTCGTTCTTATCGTTGGTGCACGAGCATCCGCAATCGCAGACGACCTTGGAGCAATCGATGGTGAGTGTCGTCAAGATGCCCCTTTGCATCAAAAGACAGACTTCTTGAGGAACCCTTCCTGAAAGTTTGCGAGGAAGAAATCACTGGTTGAGTCTCCTATCTTTGTACAAGTTTTTTTCGCTGCCTACAACGAGCAGAACAAGTTGTACGTACCTGTCAGTTCAGTGTCGTGAAGCTTCAGAATCTCAAGCTCGGTCAGCAATCCAATGGTTGTCGGAATAGTACCCGTGAAGCCATTTTGATGAAGGGACATGAAGCGGACTTTTGGCATGAGACCAATCTCCTCTGGTAGGGGTCCGCTCAGGCGGTTCTTGTGCAGCAACAGTTCCTGCAAGTGCTTGAAATCTTGCAACTTGAACATTGCAGGATCAAGCTTTCCAGTGAGTCTGTTGTCGTTCAGCCATAGGTACGCCAGTCTGGACAGCTGACCAAGTTCGACGGGAATCGAAGATGTCAGCTTGTTGTTATTCAGATACAACCACCTCAACTTTTGCATATTGCCAATTTCGACGGGGCTGCGGACAAAAAACAGTCGTTGGTCAGTTTGTAATCGCCTTTTAAAAAGGTGGAAGCTCGAGGTTCTGCCTTACATTTCACCGCTGAATTTGTTTCCCTGCAAGTTCACTGACACGGTCTTTTGCAATAAGCCGAATTGTCGGGGAAGCTGAGAAATGATGCAGCAATGAAGGGGTCAGCTCGAGATAGACGCCGTTCTCACCAGAGCAACTGTGCACCGTGTAACTTACAGGCCCAGTAAGAGACGGATTGTTTATGATTGCCAGGTCCCTCAACTTCGTCAGCATCCCCATCTCTGCCGGCAAACTGAAACGAAAAAAGGAACCATTTTAGTGAGGGGGGACACATCAGAGAGCAAGACAAGATGACAACAAACATTGTAGTACGACTTACGTTCCCCGCAATCCATTGTTGGTGATCCATATGCTATCCCCGCGCTCACAACCGTAGAAGGACCACTCACATTCCGACACTCCCATGGACAACCAGTTGTTGCTGTGCGTCCAATTCTGGGCTGATCGACCGTATCGGGTTGTTGGTTTGTTGGAAGTTGCATAGAAGAGTGTTGCAAGAGCAAAGCGATTCTTCCACCCTTCTTCGGTAAAGGAGGGAGTGGCGTCGCCGCCGCTCGTGGTAGCTGCAGCCACGACCCCCGAGTTTAGTCGATCTGCAAGGAACGCTTGATCCGACAAAACCCATTGATACGCCTTGAACTGCGGTGATTCGTTCGTCTGATCAGCTGCCAGGGCCTCCAGGGTAAATTGGGGCAAAAGGGACTGAAACAGAGTAGGAGCCATGGTAGGAGCGTCATTATCCACATCATTTTCTGTGTACAAAGGCGCAGGTGTCGCCTCTAGTTGATGACTTGGCGAACCGGTGTCATCAATGATAGACTCTGACGCTTGATCGTCGATACTTGTGAAGTTGGTTTCCAGAAAGTGACCCGAGAGCGAGTCCCACGAGTCTCGTCCAAAGAAGTACAAGAAAATCAAGGCGATGACGCAAAGGACGACAGTAACACCAAAACCAAAGCAAGCAAACTTGGTACGTCGAGCCCATCGCCTGACCGATGACCCCCCAATTGAAGCAAGACCGTCGTCAGATTCCTTTGCCATTTTGGACATCATGGATTCGGCCTTCAGCTTGATTTCACGAGCGACTATCTGGGAATTTCGAATCATCTCGCTGGCTGTAGTGGACGCCGATGTCGTGCTACTGTTGCTGCTTATACCACTTTTGTTGGAACGGCTGCTCTTAGCACTACCGGATGCAACCTTGTGCTTGACCTTGGGTGCTCGCTGCAGTCGTCTAGCCTGGATTTCCTTTGCCAGGAGAGATTGCTGTTCTAACTCGAACAAAGACTGCTCTTCCAAAGAATCGTCAATAAGCTCTTCTTCTTCAACAGTCTCTTGCGGCTGCTCCTGCTTTGTGACTCCCATTTCAATGTCTTCTGCTGCAGTTGGTGTCTTGGAGCTTTCTTCAGGTGGCGAAGAGATCCGGTCCTTCATGTAGGCCGTGAGCGGCTTTGACGCGGATGAATCAACCACTTCATTCGCACTTTGTACAGCAGGAAACTTTTCCAGCCTAGCTGCTCGGGGACTGTCCTTCTTGGAAATAAGATCGTCGTCATTGGACATGGTAGCCGGAGGGAACTCTTCGTCCTGGGAGGAACGGACCAAGGGAGCACTGCTATTCTGTTGTTTCGACGTGACCCCCTCCTTCTTGACAGCAGCCATCAACGATGAACTGGGCGCTGGTGGACCATACGGATAGACCACATCTAAGAGTCCCTTGGATTCGTTGCAATTTGGAAAGGGACAGCTACCACTAGTCAATTGACACATGGTCATGTGCCCCAAGAGCTCCTTCATTTCTGCGCACTGCTTATGAATAGGGCAACGGCCGCGAGTCTCCTTATCTTTACTGTCGGGTCCGTACGGACAACGAGCCGCATGTCGAAGCATGATGAGCTGTTGCGTGTTTCGTTTCGACACCTCTCGACCCGAAGCCGGTCGTCGCGATGTCTTTGTTTTCTCCGTAATGGAGGACATGCTGGATATTTTGCTGTAATTGCTCGTCGATGGAGCTAAGCTTTCACCATCATTGGGCGTGGGTCGGGTCCGCGATCGAGACCGAGCACGAGCCTCACGAATGCTCTGCTTTCTATCTTCGATCGATGTCGAACGTCCTGGACGAGAGCTGGACGAACGATCCCGTCGGCTGGCTGCTGCGGCTAAGGATGTCGTCGCTTGCGCATCGACGCCCAAGGCTGACATGAGAGCTTCCTGTGACTTGGCACTTCGTTTCACGGCGGCCTGATTTGCTTTCGCCTTTGCTTTGTAGCCGGTAGAGTCGAATCTAGAGACGGCTTCCATCACTGACACAGTCTCCGTTTTCGTCCCGGACTTGGCCTTAGCAGTTGCATCATTGGTCTTTCGACCACGAGTATCCCTCGACGTTGGACGTTCGACCGCTCCGCGGTTCGTGCGGGAAAACTTTGACGACGTCTTTTTGCTGTCCATGGCTGTTGATGTTAGTTTTTCCCTTTGTGGCGACGCAAATTCCAATACTACACCACCCCACCAAGTTCACAATGAACCAAAGTCCTGCCCGACTGGTTTGAATCAAGCCAGTTGATGTGCTACCGGTTCTCCAAACAGTACTGAGGGAGTTGAGAGGTGCGCGCAGCCAATTTTCTGATTTCGAGCAACGGCTTTCATCTTTCGCACTTTGATGTGCGCCAAAAGGCGGAGGTGCGCCGGGGCAATATGTTGCTATTAATAGTAGAGGTACGCATGATACCTACCATACGGTACCGTCGTATCGGTACCGTACCTTTCCAGCAAAGGTAGTACTGTACTTCCAGAACTCTCCGGTAACCGTGCCTGAGGCTCAACCTCCAGCGCCTCCTTTTTTGGCCGGATCCGTCCCTCGAACCAGTACTCTGTGGCTCCTTGTACTCTACCTCCTAGCTAGCCAGTAGCGTACACCACGAGTTGTCACATTCCTCTGGCTTCACGTTTACTAATTGGATAGTCTTCACTGGACTTTAGGACAAAAAGAGTTGTTAAGGACTTCCTTCCTCGGTCTTTCTGGGAGCTATGCATAAACGCCTCATCGCCACGGTCCTAGTTCCCGATCTGGGCGTGTCTCGAAGGTCGTGGCAATCCAGCAGTACCTACAAATCGATGACCATTGTAAAAATAGTCCAACTGTTTTGCTCAATCGTCTCTGCTTGTCACCCCAAGCTACAGAGGCGAGCAGCGTATGATGCATTTCTCTTACTGGTAGTTGTTATGGACAGTGACACTGTTCTGGTTGTTTCGTTTTTGTTTGTAGAGGTCTTTATCAACTTCTGTATCCATGCAGCGCCAATTTATGCTGCTTTGGCCCTCAAGTCAGTACAGGGGGCTGAGTTGAAAAGAACCGCGTAGAGGCCAGTTGACCTCCTTCGATGCTTTGGCGCCGTTGTGGTAAACGTGGAGCACCCCAACTGCATGCGGCAGCATCATTGCTCTGTGGTGATGATGATGCATGTACTGGTTCGACGACGAGGTGGTTGGGGGCAGGCACAAAATCCATTCTGATGCTGATGGCTTGCTTGCTTGGGGGACACAAAGCTGGTGAAGGGCATTGACTATTGGACGACCGTCGGTTGGGAGACTTCTTGTTGGTGATGCTTCTCGAAAGCTCATGTTGTGGCCCCCTATTGTGACGAGGAGGAGACGCCCTTTTGCGTCGATGACTTCTTGTGGTGCAGGATGAAGCTCTGACAACTTTGGTGCGAGGTTCGCGGTCTGAATAGTGCATGGCAGCGCCATCTTGCTTGCACAACTGAGAGCGAGGGAGGGCACGTCATGTCATCATTGTTGGTGGCTGCCAGGGACATGATTCCATGGAAGTTGGCTTGCAATGATTGACTCAAAGCTGACATGGTTGCTGTTCTGGTGGCTTAATTGGTTGACCGAATCGAATGAATCGAGATTGTGGATTGTGAGAACTGTCATTAGATGTTGTGGATGAAATGAGAACACTTCAGTGCTTTAGTGTACTGTAACGTGTCGTAGGACTGCCTCGGAGCTTCAGCATCGCTTTGCCTCTTAGGGGTTCATCTGGTAATGACCTCTGTGAACCCAAAACCCAAAGCTCGCGGATCTATTATTAGCATCTGCTAAACAGTTTGACACCCATGATAACTCCCATTATGCTACGATCTCGATTGCAACTCGATGGAAGCATTCAGTTATGCATGTATGTATGCATAGTTGCTGAAGTCCGCAGGGGGCTTTTACACGTGAGCGGGGTTCTTGGTGCGTGAGTTCGTTTCTTCCAAATGACTTAAGGGATACCGGTACGACTGTACTTAAACAAATAAATAAATGTGACTGTCACTCTAATGTAAAAGACGCTACGAAGGGGGAAGAGCACCCCTCGACCCTCGACCACCCAAAAAGAACTGGTGGATCGCATGCCTCAATATGAAGCTGCCATGATCAGTTTTTAGATTTTTGAAGTGACTGCTAGCTGTGGCTTGTAGCCTTCATCGATCATGCAAGCAATGCATCACTGAGTGTATACTTTCCCAAACCTTTGGTGGAACAAGAATAATGTAGCTTTTGTCACTGTCTTGCTTTACATCGATAGCCAGGTTTCACAACAATTCTTTTTTCTTTGCCTAGCTAGCTAGAAAGGCATTCTGGCATCTATGCATAGTGGGGCTTCAATCATCCGAGCTGCTGAGAGCTGCGAAGAGAAGCAAGAGAACCTCTGTAAGACAGGGAGGCTCGCTCAGAGTGTCACAAGAGTCTCCCCACTCCCCAAGCCCTTCTCCAAGAGGCCATCAAAGTATACAAGTTATTTGTGACGTCTTCTGCAAGACATAAATAAGTCGTTGTCGTGTACATGTACTAGTACTCTAGTAGTGGTAGCTAGCTACTACGTAGCTCGAGTGGCACCGGTGTGTTATTACTCACCTAGCTTCAGCCACCCATCTATGGTTATAACTTACTATTGGTCTTACCTTCGTGGCTATCTACAGATTTATATGCATACACGTATAAATGTATAAGCCAGGAGGCCACGAAGGAGTTTGGGCGCGAATTTTAAAGCTTAACTATGCTAGAATGAGGCCGTGGTAAACCATACCCACGAATAATCAGAACTCAAACCATTGTCAAACAGCACAGCGAACCCAAAATGATGACCCTTGGAACCCACTCTGAACACAATGAAGGGTCATGAGATGGGATAACACAATCATGGAAGCACAACCAGATGCCATGGATCAGCACCATGGAAATCAATAAGAAAAGCTACCAGTGCACAGAATCTCAATGCCAGAAGGCACATCGGTGCCTTCATTATCTCCATCCTCGCCAATATCTCCATCCTCACCATCGCTGTTATTTTCGCCATTGATTGTCGCTCCTTCTTCCTCGCCAGTGTCACCATCGCTGCTTTTCTGTTTCTTGGTGGGACTCTCATCGTCAGTGGAATCATTTGTCTCAGTGTCAGAGTTCGAAGTGCTTCTCTTCTTGGCAACCAACCTTGCGTCGTCTTCTTCCTCCTCGTGGACCTCTTCCTCTTGGACTTCTTCCTCTTTGCTTTCGTCTTTGCTATCAGAGTCAGCTGCCACCTGGGAAAAGCTTCCCCAAGAAATTGGACGCAGCAAGATCTCATCAATGGCCTCTTGAGACGGACTCGACGTGCCACTACCGCTGGACGGACTGGAGTCACTACCGCTGGTTCCAATGGCGACTCCTTCACTGGCTCCTTCACTGGCTCCTTCACTGGCTCCTTCACTAGCTCCTTCACTGGCTTTCCCACTGGCTTCTTCACTGGCTTCTTCACTGAATCCTTGGTTGGTTTCCTCGTTGGATTCATCAGAGGCCTCTAGGGGGAAATCTTCGGGCTCGAGGCCCACAAGGTCATCTTCGTCATCGGCAGTGTGGTTGGTTTGGTCAGTGTCATAGACATCGCCAGGCCTGAAAAGGTTTTCGGGAAGGACACCGGAAAGATCATCGTCCACTGTGTCTTCCTTGTCCAACAGCGCCTCAATCTTGCCAAGATTAATGCCTCCCATGTTGACTTCATCTTCGTCATCGCTGGGCGCATCAACTTGCTCTGTCAGCAAGTCAATCTCACCCAACCAACGGTGGTAACGCTGGATGTATGCATCTTCGTCGTACCCCCAGATCTGGCAAAAGAGAGTGGTTGAACAGGGTTCTGTCCATGGGTCCGGTAGCATCAGCTTCAACTTGAACAGATTCTCAAAGATGTACATGTCGATGAAGTGGTTTTCGAATGGAAGCATGGAGCGACTGCCATCCTCCAACTTGTATCGAACCCAAAGGATGCCAAAAATGTCATCGGCATAGACATAGGCAGGCAAGGGTGGGTATCCAGTTCGGCGCCATTCCTTGTTGATCTTGAACAGTTTCCGATAGGCCTCATAGCGCAAGTCCAAACCAGACTGGATCATCTCTTCAATCTTGGCCTCGCAGAACGCCAATTCATCCTTGTACTGGTGTTCCGTATGACGAACAAGTTCGTTGGCACCTACTTGGGGGTTTCTTGTCAGCCTTGGTACCGGCACATACTCAGCGATGTCGTCGGGGTAATGCAATGCAGCAGGAATGTTACGGGGAGGTGAGTTCATGGTCTCTAGCAATCTTGCGAAACGGTGATGTTCCAACTGGTACTTTTCGACGATGTCTTACAGCAGACGAGATTGTGACACAGATTGCGAGACCGATTGGGTGCATAGCAACAATCATCAGGAACCCTGGAAAGCTCGAGCTGGGAGAGCTGAGGGAGTATCGGCACTGTGAGTATCGGCATTGCAATATTTGGACACTCTCCAATGCCTCCATTGAACCAATGCTGGATGTTCGTGCTTCCAATTTTGTTCCTCTTACATTGAAATATTTGTTTCAAAATCTTAGCCATTCGATATGTCACTTCTTGTGCATGCAAAACTGTCCTTCCTGTTGAAATACTAGCTAGTGTCTTTACTTCATTGCTGTGTCTATAAATCATTAGAAGTAATACGTAAAATATCTTTTGTTGCACAAGGGCTGTCACTCGATCACTTCTACGTGTTGTTTTCCTTCTGGTGCATGGCCGCAGCTGCGTTTATCTTTCCTGCAATTGTCTTAACAACTCCATACGGTGTGCCCTCCCTCCTTGCATTAAGGAGCATTCCGCGATATGCAGTGGGGTTATCATGGAACGACAGTAGTGAGTCAAGGAGACACGGTGTGCTAAGCCCCTTCATTGGATCTTCTCCTTTTTTGTCTGACTTGAATAGTCGAAGGTACGTTGCAAGCTTGAACAATTGACCATGGTTGAGTGTCGATACGTAGGCATCGAAGGTCTCCAGCATCTTCGAAAGGCAACGTCTCTTCCTGTTGGACCTCCCAAGACCACTCTGGTACAATTGCTTGCTGTTTCCTCTTGCACTTGCTTTCGCCAAGTCACCTCTAGCATTCGCACTTGTTTTGCGCAACGTCTCCAGTTTGCACGCCAGTAGTCCGTGCTTGCTTCGCAGGTAAGCTGCGCCTGGACAACTGTAGCCCAAGTGTTTGTAGCAATCTTCGCAATCACCTACAATAGTTCCTTGCTTCCACTGCAAATGACAAAGCGTGTTGGTCGATCGCATCATGAGATCAGCAACTTGATCGGGTTCAACCGGCATCTTCAGTTTTGTGAGCTGTTCCTCGAAAGGACCTTCGTTCCCATCCAGAGCAGCTAAGAACAATCGAATTCTTCGTTGGTCAATTGGAATTCCATCTTGTAACCAATGTTCACCAACCAGCTTGATGGATTCCCATGGGCGTCTTTTCCTAGTTCCACAATGTCGATTCCATCTCTTAAGAAGCCACTTGCTGCAACAGCGAACATGGAAACTGTCCTTGGGATCTCGATGGTACAGGGGTCTCCTCGTGTATGGGCATCTTCCTGTAGGAGTCTGGGAGCGGTGTGAACAAGGAAGGCAGAAAGAGATGCGTTCTTCGAACAGTCAGCTGCCACACTCTTTATTCCGTGCTTGTTGAAACTCTCGTTGGGACAGTTGGAGGGGTATACACCAACCTCACCAGTGCATGCATAATTCCAATTCCACCTTGGATGACTGCAGTATTCCTTTTCGATGTGATCTGCTGCATCTGTCTCGCCGCGACTCCTCCAATATTGGAGATACAATCGTGTCACAGTTCGGCGTTGATCGATTGTCTTGGTGTGTCCAATGCTAGCTACCTGTCGATAGGCTATACCCTTTGGTGCTGCAAAGCTTTTGCTTTTCATTTTCTTCACGTAACTGCTCTTCTTCGAAAAGGCTTGCATGACATGAAAGAAGCAATTGAGAACAGCTTCATCTTCAATGTAATTGTCGTCGCTGTTCGTACTGGCAGAATCGCAGTCATTCTCAGTTTGCACCTGGGTGAGAGGTGGATCGAACAAGGGAGAAGGTGGGTATTCTTCGATTTCTTCTACCGCGAAGTGTCGCTGTTCCCTAACAGTACTGGCTTCATTTAGGTCGCACAATGCAGCATTCTTCTTGTAGAATACGTGAGAATTTACAAAGGTGTCAGCGTCGTCTGATGTGCCCCAATCAATAGCAAATTCGATACCAAACAGTCTGGAACATAGGTCTCGCATGCAATAGAGCACCAGACAGTAGGGATGAAAACGCTCTCCACCAGCACGTAGATACAGAATTGGGCAAAAGGATGATGTGACTTCATCTTGTCCAGCTCGGACGAGCTTGACAGAGACACTTCCCACTGTTATTAGGCAACTCTGGTCTCTTATCATGCCGCCTGTACCATCACAGCACAACTGTCGAGTGCCCCTCCTTCGCAAAGCAAGATGCATGAGTTGAAACAGGCCACTTGGTGAGAACACAATGAATGCCCCCTCAATGCGTTCAGCAAAAATGCTGATGTTCTTGGCATCGTCGTGGTCCAAAACTGCGTCTCTGTAACGGTCTACGATGCTTCCACCACCAAGATTCATTGCGAACATCGTAGCCGAATCCTTTGCTTCCAGTGCAGTAGCTATTTCGTCAGCACTGCGATAGCTGCATCTTGGGCTGTAAGTGGGGGGAATCGTAAGCTCCCAGTGCGAAAGCACTCGGATCAAGACGTCGTTGCTCCTCAGACTCGAATACCCAAACAGCTTGCTTTTGACAAATGACTCTCTTTGATTGGCTACGTAGTTTCTCAGTTGTCGTGTAAAATGCTCTCGCGATTCTGTGTCCACGACATGGTGTCGATGCTCCAGATAAATGACATCAGATCGCAGTGTAGTGTTGACAGATTTCATAACCTCGTCAGCCGTCACTCGAAGGATGGAACGGCCTGCATCTGTCTGTTCCTTAACAAATGTCTGCACGAGGGGAACCAGAGCTGGGGCAATGCCGTATTGGTCCTTTACGTTCTTGGGTTTCTTCTGGAGCTGATGGTTGTGCGTGTTGTTCCCCATTCTAACAAAGTTTCGGAAACTTTTGCTCAGAACTGATGCTTTGCCAAGGTTTCTTGTTTGGGCTCTCCAAGGGCATTTCTTGCGCATTGGGTCATCTTTGTCTCCTACCCGACAACAGAATTTGTACACCTTCGTGCCATTCTGCATCTTGACTGTGCCATCAGGTCTAATGCATTGCTTCTGGACTCCATCCAAGTCAATAAAGCCACCATACTTGTCATGCAACTGTGCCTTGGCTTCTTCCCTGGTAGAGCAAGGATACGATGATGGATCCTCCACATACTCTACTGATTGGCTAGGAAGCAATGTGCTGGGATGATTCTGGGCACTCGAAACACCACGACTGGTAGAACCTTGCAAAGCTACGTGGGGCGCGGTCTGGTGAGGTTGGTGCTGATGATGACGGTAGTGACTCCAGCCACTTTGATAGTGGTACGGGGCGTACGAATACTGTGGTGGGCCAGGCTGGTACCGGTAAGGATTGTAATGGTTTCCAACCCACCCGTACGATTGTCTAGCAGGGTATCCTCCTCTCCAGGAACCGGTACCAGTTTGCTGGCGATCATTCACGCGATTACGAACAGAGCCATTTTGCGAGTACAAATTCAGCTCAGGATAGGGTGGCGATGATTGGCGAGATGTACGGCGAGATGACATTGGCGATGGGTCTGCAACGATAATATCTTCCTACCAACCAATTCTGCAAGTAGAAACACAACTGACTACTTTATTACTAATTACTTTGGCGATTGTTCGTGCAGTGGCAGAAAAACAAGTCAACTCCAAAATTGAGTTTCATGGTCGCAAACACCCTGTTTGGGTAGCCCAAATGGCAATTCCCACCAATGATTTATCCTCGAACATTCTCCAAATTGTGAGTATCCCAGCGGAGAGGCAGCCTTGACGCCTGAGTTGGCCAAGCACATAAGGAGTACAGAGCCAAATTGTTCGAACAGACAACCTTGCCAGCTTTCGCGGTCCCTTGTTCCAAGTTTTGGAGTGAACCCGCCCTTTGGTCGCTGACTTCCTGCCATTACTCCCACCAAGTCCAAACAATGATGAAGCCCATGCAACGCGGCACTACAATGGAGTCAAAATTAGCCAACAACGAGAAAATGCACGGTCTTGTCTTCTTCCCATTGCTTATCGGTTGCCCTTCTGAGGTGACGACACTGGTCATCCATTGCTGGGTTCGGGGTTTCTTGTTTTTTTTTCTCCCAGAAGACAACCATTCACAATGGTGGGAGAGGGTTCATTGCGGGTTCGCCATGTTTTTGGAAATGTGTCACGGTCTCAGTCACGATTTGTTTTACCAACGGTAAGTCATCCACTCCTTCTTCTGCCTTGCATTCAGCGAGTACGTCAGCACGCATGTCTAACCCATACTTTGTCTTCACTTTTTGGTCTGCCGGCTCGATGGCCAATGTGTTTGGCCAGGAGTACACAACGTCCCCCATCTATCACCTGTAAGTGCGAAGCACAGCTGACGCACTCCCCCCGGTTTTCTTGGGGGAAGTGTCCTTATTGTAGCAGACTTCTGCGTCACCTTGCGTCATTTTTTTTTTAAGCCTCCTTGCTCCTTCGCGCATGTTCCCAGCAGCTCGGATCTAAGCATAGGAGCTATCAGGAGCCAGGAGCACATCAAAATACTTATTGGTGACACATTTGCTTGTTGCTTATGATAAGATTCGCATGCTACCGGTACCTGGCAACCCAATTCCCGAAGCCTTCGAGTGCGGTATTCGTGGTCGGCAACAGCTTTTTGCGAACAGACCCCAAATCTCACAATCTTTGAAGGGCCATTTTAAAATGATACACTCATTCGACAATCAAAGAGCTATCAAACACAACCCCACAACAACCACCACAACAACCACCATTGCGCTCACCAACAATGTGCTCCGCTTTGAATAATTTCATGAGGGCCAACTTCCAAGGAATGTCCGCCAAGATGACATCTGAAGCAAAGACACTACTTCCACATAATACCATTGATTTGGTCCAGGACAATGCATCCATCCATTCCACTGCCAAATGCCCTTGGCCACAATCCCCACCAATGAGAGGGGATCACGTCAGCAGCAAACTCGTTCACAGGATGAAACACTCCCAGAGGAAGCAACGAAGAGTTCCAACCAAATGGTCTTACCCTGCGATCGGAAAGGATTTCACAGAACCTTGCCTAGCAGGGTCTTGCACCTGCCCCAAGATGCCTAAGAGACGACTCAGTATGGACAACATGAAAGAAGAGATGCCCCCAGAGAGTGACGGATCCATTTGTACAACTGATAAGGACAGCAAAATGGTGGCCAACGCTGCATAGTTGATCATGGGAAGAACGTTACAGAGACCGAAAACAAACTCCCGCCCCCTTGAAAACAGACCCAGGACTTACTAGTGTACATACTATTGCTGTCATACCGCAGCAGGGTGGGTTGCTTTATTCAAAACTACTAATGGCGTCGCTTGTTTTTACGACCGTACTACCTGACTACAAGGTTATGAAACACCATACCTCACACCATACCACACGATGGCTAGCTCTACCGGTAGCTGGGAGAGATATTACGAACAAGATTGGTCATTCGCAGGCATAACCTACTAGCTAGTTAGTTCGAACTAACTCCTTTAGGTGGGGGTGCAAAAAATAGCCAACGGACTGAAACATCCGACCAACTTCGCTGTAGTTGGCATCCGTGCTACACTGTAGCAAATCGTTCTTGGGCATCAGCGAAGCGGGTACAATCGGCAGCTGGTATCACCTACGACGACTTGAATGGGAAGGCCACCAGAGCTTCTTGTCCTTCCTTGGCTTGTCCCGTCCAATTCCTCGCAGACAGGCGCAATCGCATTCCACACCAGTGCTTTGCTTCGACTGAAAAGTGTACTGTTTTTTGTAGCGCATCGCAGCGAGCCAGAAAAGAGCTCCTAGCTATCTAGCAGCTACCTTTAGCTTTGCGAAGACCACCTAACATGCATCTCGTTCACCAACGGCTAGGTAGTAGTCTACAATCTACAATACCTTTGACAACTAATGGTTTCGAGACGGATTGCAAACTCAAACATGGGCTCCAGTGTTACTGTGTAGCAGAGCTGCGGCTACCACTTGAGGGACGGCATCGAAATACCCGTGATGTTGCTGCCAGTACGAAGGCTCATCCGCTCCGTGGTGGCCTTGACCGCTTTGCTGCGTATGTCAAAGCAAGTGCATCGCTTTTTGGATTGCCAAGCTTGTCGGCACGATGTTTTTGCGTGCTGGAAGTACCAACATCCCGTTGTGCTTTCGAGTCCAACTGGTAGGTTCAGCGTGTAAGTAGAGAGGTCTGGTTTATATGGATTAGCTAAGAGGATGATACAGATGAAATGATTGCGGCCACGGTACCGTCATTGCTCTAGTGGATGGAAGGCAGGATGGAATGGAATGGCAGAAGAGGTGGCCAGGTCGAGCCAGCAACCGGAGAACGAAAGCAACTCAGAAGTTGCTCGTCTGGATTTCTTCAGATGGCTTCTTCGCACAAAAAGACAAAGCGGTCCGTCTCACGCAAGGATTCCGTCCAGGAGGAAGTAGTGTAGGGATCGTCTTGATTTTGGAACATATCGGATGTCTTGGTCACAAGTAATCCATTGTCCTGAAGCTCTTTGCGAACGACCCATTCTTCCACGGCATCCTTGAGACCTCGTCCAGGTCCCGCTTGATTGTCCACCAACAAGAACTTGCCTCCTGGTTTCAAGGCTCTTCGAATGGACTGAAAGAACTTGCGACGATCAATGGGCATGTCAAAAAGATCGTGGAATCCATTTTGCATTGTAATGAGATCATATGTGCCTCGTTGTGACAACGCAGGATCTTCCATACTGGAGTAGAAGTGTCGGACACGATATCCTCGTTCCATTTCATGAATCGTCTTGGAGATCCCAATGGCATTGAACCAAGTACGCCATTCACTGGCGTTCTGCGCATCCACGGGATGTTCGGTCATCAAGGAGGCATGTCGCGCCAGGTATCCAAAGCCAGTGCAGACGTCCAACACGCGATGGTGTCGTTCCAAACCGGCAAATCTCAAGAGACCTTCCGGATCTCGAAAGGAGCGGCGCTTGTCTTGTGTCATGTTGTTGTTGTTAGTGGGATCTTTGTAGATGTGTTGGAATATGGATGCTTTTGTTGGCAAAATTGTGAGAAGAGGAAAGCAACTGATGATACACATGCAGACGACGCAATGGTGAAATCTATCCAAGCGCCTTGCAAAAGATCTTCCTTTCCAAGGAAGCAGAGTGACTTCTTTTGAAGTCGAATGAAGGCCTATTTTGAGCCTTCTGAAGGACAGTTTTTGTGACATTAAGTAACTGATTGTCGTCTTGTGAATCGAATGAATTCCAATGAAGTCGAATGAAAGCTTCCTGATTTGCCTCTAAGTAGATAGTTGTCGTCAAAGGAATTCGATTGAAGACTTCCATGCTCTTTGAGCTCTCTGGGCACAAAAACGTGAAGTTCGACACCTGGATCTTCCTGCACGACTCGAGCTTGAGTCGTACACTCCAGGCAAAAGATACGCTTTCAGTCGTGATGGATCTTTCTTAGAGTTGGAGCTATGGTACCGGTAGCTGTGGATGACAAGATGGGTGACAGTCAATACAGTACGATACGTGCGTGTAGTACTGGTACAGTAAGCGATGAGGCCAAGAGGAACCTGACAACAATAACCATGAAAACCTCCTACCAAAGGAGATGGAAAGCCATGATGATACTAGTAGCAACGTATACGAGCAATTTCATCTAATTTGCTTTGAACAAGTCTAGCCAGGCGAGAACCCTACTAGGTTGGCGACAGATGCCAACGAAAAGAATGATGAATCGGAAAGTTCTTCGAATGCTAAGCACTCCAGTATTGGCACTCCAGTAATCTCCCCTTCCACTCAATAGGCCCGCCAACCACACACAACGGTGTCATGCAAAAAGCTCGTGTTTTGTTCGACGAAACAGGTCTGGCTCCAAGCTCCAAGGTGTGGGTGCTTCGAAGGTAACAGACCTCGTTGCCGCAACAACACAGCACTCATTATAAACGAAAATAGTAGAAACAGAGAAACTAAACGGTCCTTGCCAAGGTTTGGCAAAGCGCGTCTTGTTTGGGGAGAGGCAGCTGGGAAGCATACTTCCTAGGGGCAATCGTACGAGAAGAATATCTTACAAACTTGTATATCGATATTTGTGAATGCCTATACAAGAATGGCTTCTTCTGCAAGAGAGATGTAGACATGGGTAAGGAGTGTCACAGTGTGGACAGACAGGATCACTGGCATGGAGCCTGCATGTCATGCAGAGATCCAGTCAATGACCCTGTACGGTTAAATGCTTCATTTGGGGCAATAACATTCACAACCACAAAGTATATCTGTGCAGTCAAATGACAGACCACCCGCTTCTCTGCATGGTTCAAATCCAAAATTGTTTCCATCACAGGTACCATTGAGGGCGCAAAGAGTTGCAGGAACAGACCCAGACAGCAAAGGATTCCCAGTCAAAGATAATGTGTGGAGAGACTGCTTGAGAATGGATAGCTCCTCTGGAAGAGTACCCGACAGAGAATTATTGGCAAGGGCCATGTGTTCCAGTGAGGTAAGCTTTCCAATTTCAGAAGGGATCCAGCCGGATATTTCGTTGTCTTGGATCTGGAGCTCTTGAAGCCTAGTCAGGAGGCCAAGCTCTGTTGGGATAGTTTGTGTAAGAGAGTTGTCATGGAAACTCAGGATAGCCTCCAGATATGTGAGCATGCCGAATTCACTGGGAATCTGGCCAGAAAACTGGTTCTGCCCTCCATGAATATTGATCAGTGATGTTGCAAGGCCCAACTCTGTAGGGAGGGTTCCCTCCAGATAGTTGCCCCAGAACCGGAAACCTGATAGAACAGTCAACTGACCCAGCTCGCTTGGCAGACTGCCTGAGAATTGATTTGAGTAGAGACCAAGTGCCTTTAGAGATTCAAGTAGACCCAGCTCTGATGGAATTGTGCCTGTTTGTTAGTGAGGAGGGGCACATGAATGTCAGAACCTTCTGCTTCATCAACAGGAAGAAGACTGGCCACAAGACTTACCAGAGAAGTCAGACTCGGCCAGCAGAAAATATCTCAACCTGGAGAGAGCGGCTATCTCTGAGGGCAGAGTGCCCTTCAGTTTCAGGCGCCTCAAACTCACATCCCTCAATTTGGTCAGCTGCCATACCTCTGAAGGAATGGACCCCTCGATTTGATTGGTACTCAGAGAGAAGACTTGGAGGCCTGATAGTAGGCCCACTGCAGTTGGTAAAGTACCTGTCAGATGCAGATTTTGTAGATAGAGTCCTTCTAGAGATGTCAGCTGTCCAATGTGACTTGAAATGGTCCCTTCCAGTTGATTCCAGCCACATGATACTGTCCGCAAAGAAGTCAACATGTACAGCTCTTCAGGAAGAGATCCCACAAGATTGTTCTGGTCAAGCCAGAGATGTTGATAAAGCCCATCATTGTTACAGACTGTGGTTGGAAGAGGTTCCAAAAAGCCTTCCAAGTATCCTGGATAGAACTTTGTTACTCTTGATTTCCTGCCAAAATCTGGTGCCCTGAACCAGTCACATTCGTGGACAGAATGGTTGAGCCAGTTTGTGTTGTCATCCCATGTGCTACCACCAGTTGAATAGAATACTGTGGCAAGGGCAAATTTCTGCTTGATCCGATGGATGGTGTAGAAAGGCAAGTTATCAGAGTCTTCCATCAGCCATTGATAGGCTTTGAACTGAGGCGACCCATGGTCTTCCTGACCTTGGATGGTGCAGTTGTTTAGCAATGAATCAAGGAATCCTTTGTTCGAGATGGGTGCTGCTGTTATCGCAGGAACCTGTGTCGTTGATGGTGCAGTAGTAGTGGCTGCAGTGGAATTTCCCGGGATCAGAACGGCGAGTACCACCATACCAAATGCAGTAAGGGCAATGCTCACGAGCAGAAGAAATGTTTTGATTTGCTTGGAGTTGTGCATTCTCTTCATCACAGCTTGTTTACTGTCATCAAAGTTGAAGGCTTGCGGCAGCTGGTAGGGGAAAATTTCACTTACTGGGTTGGCCACAGCCAAACCGACGGCGCGGCCTTCACTATTCCCGGCTGGTTGCTCTTCATCGGATCCCCCCCTTCTGAATTCCTCTGAACGAACACCCACTACTAGGGAATGGCTAAGGAAGGTGGCTCTCTGGAAGTATATTCCAGGTGCGACGGCGTATGCTCCAGGACGCACCATAGCAGGTTGCTGATTTTGATTGTTGTCTGCTGTTGGTAGCGGCATGGGCAATACACTGCTGAGAGGATCAAAATCATCTGTGGATGCTGCCACATTCATGGCCTGCCGTAAGGGAGACTCTGTGTTGTTCTCGACTTTTCCAATTGCCTTCTTCTTTTCACCACCACTCACGACGATATCAGTAGCCATCCTGTCGCCCTCGGTGGAATTCTTCGTGCCGCCAACCACAGTCGCGATCGCGTCGCTGCCGCTCACAACGTCCTTGCTGTGTGCGACTTCCTTCCTGTCACTAAGGATGGTCTTTGAACTCTTTGTGGCCATTTCGGAATGAGCGAGATATTCCAGCAGGATCACTCCAACGAAGGCACGAACGGGCTTGTAGCGCACACTTTGAACTCTTCCACATTTCAACTCTTCCACATTTCAACGAATTCCGCCTCGTCTCTGATAAAACCCCATGCGAGATTTTTTCTCGGAAGGTTCCAATGGAACCTACTGTACTTCCAAGAGAAGCCAGTCGTCACACCCAGACTTGCAAACTACTTAAAAAGAAAGGGGAAGGAAAGGATGAAAAATGACCCTTCCATGTGAAAACTTGGTTCTGCCCCGAATAAAATCGGAAGAGGGAACAAAAGTTGCTGTGATGAGAGGGAGGAAACTGTGCAGATGCCCAGAGTTCTACTACTACTAGTAACCCCCGAGATATCAGATTGAATTTAGCTGGGTAGAGTGCTAGAGCTAGAATGGCAGACAGAAAAGACTGGGTGAGCCAAGATGTCTGTCATCGAATGAACGGCTTGTATCTTGCTTGGCCCAAAGCCTAGCTAACAGCAAGATATGCCTATGATGTTGAGTTGCCTTGATCTTGGCTCCGGCCCAAAGCCTACCAGCCAATAGCAAGATATGCCTATGATGTTGAGTTGCCCTGATCTTGGCAGTGGTGGCATTCAAGTTGTACAAGCCAGCTCTGGCCCCTTCGAGTTGCTTCCAACCACATGATGTGTTGAATGTTGCAGCCAACTTGTAGCTAATTCTCCACAGGCTTTCCAAATTTGCATTCTTGGCTGCTGACGCCTAAACTCTCTTTCCCGCAGTCTCTCTCTCTCTCTCTCTCTCTCGCTCTCTCTGTTTTCTGCTTCCCTCCTTTTCATGCACAGCCAGATCCTTTGACCCAGTTGTCCTCCACAAACCAAACCGGTTGTTGGCAGTACATGTAGTAGTTACTGAAGGACCTAAAAGGGAAGCGCCCGTATTCGCTTCCCAACACTGTGCGCTCGCAAGACGACGCGACGCGTACCAGAAGCGCAGTGTGAAGAGGTGCAAGCTCTTGGAAAGCGATCCGTCCGTAGTTTTTGCTTGGCCACTGCAACACTACAACATCACCCTAACTACTTGGTAGACGTCTGTCCTCAACATCTATCATACGCTGTGGTAGCTGGCTGGAAGTCCGTGCTGATCGTAGACTCTCTGACCAATGTTGTTGCTAGACTGTAGCTACTCCTGCACCAGATACCAGAGGAAGAGCCGATCTTTGATTGCCCCAAGGTATTCACCAAAGCAGTCTCTTCACGTGATGAAGAGACCTCGTCGTACCATTGGGATCCAACTAATAAATCACTCGTCTCCCACTGCAGAAGCCACGACAAAAGCCGGATAAAGAGCGAATCAATGATGCATGGGGGCTCATCATCGTCAAAACATGCAACAACGAACAGAACGAAGATAAACTACAAGCATTTTGGCGGGTAAACCATACTCCTTGTAAACTGCTCAGATCCAATGTTCAGCTTTTTTATCCGCATGCGATCTTGCCAACTTTGTTAAGGGGAATCGGACCAAACTTCACCAAAAGAACGAAGCAGGCTATTCTTACAACACACAGTGAAGCCACAAGTTAAATCCTTGTACATTCCAAGGACATGCACATAGGGTAGAAGGGAGAACCCACTAGCTAGTGAACCCTTCATACAGCGGTTGGGCGTAAGTAAGTGCTGGACGACACCAAGACCCACAGCACAGCTCACAGCAACGCTCTTCGACTTTGGCTTGGTGGCCTGGAACCTGGAAGGAAGGGTTTCGGATTCAGGTAGATGTGGCATTGAATGATATGGTTAAATATAATTTATTTTACTCATTACCCCTTCTACCTTTATAAGTCTGGCTTGAGTGCCGGATTGAACCCACTCTGTGAAGTAAAAAGTGCTCACAATTTTTTCAATAATTCTTCTCTTGGTCTTGTGGCTTCAATAAAACTCAAGCTCGGACAACACACAAATCCGGATCTCCAGAGCAGGCTAAGAAGGAGCGAACATACATATCCAGTCCGTCAAAAGATCAGACGACTGAAGTCACTCATCTTCAGCAACACACTCACAAAATCACAAACAAACAATAAACATGAATCCAGCAGTCACCACAACCACTCGCACCTCCCGCCGAGACCGCGTCCGTCGATCCGACAACAGTCGACAACAACGACTGGACAATGATACGGAGGACCGCCCACGCCGCCAATTGACCAGTGAGTCCAATCACAGCGCTAGCAGTAGTAGCATCATGCGATCCTCTGCTACCCAAAGAGCCCGCGAAGAGCGACGCCGACGACGAACCACGCAGAAGCAAGACAACGAAGAAACACCCCGCCATCGTCGCCGCCGTTCTTTCCAGAAGCGACGATCCTCGTCGTCTGCTACTAAGGATCTTTTGGAGACCTTCTCTGGTCATTTCGAAGAAGAAGATCAGGAATCCCGTGATTCCATGACGGTCAGTTCTGCCTTGACGGAATTCACCAAGGGTATCCAAGCGGTATCTTCCAGGCACTATTCGCGCCGTGAAACGACGAGCAGCAAGCGACGCAGCGCTGCCTCCTTGCACAGTAGTTTGAGCGTCTTGGATACCAGCTCGAGCCGCCTGTCTTCGTCCAGCCGTCACCAAGATCGCCGCCGCCGCCGTCGTCGGGACAGTATGAATGGGTCCTTGCGCCGACGATCGGAAGAAGAAGAAGAACCAATGAAGGATGATAGCATTCGCATCTTGCAGTTTGATGTTTCTCGCACAGGTGGGCTCTCCTATGTCGATGCCAACAATGTCCATGCCAAGAGCAGTCACAATGAATACGTGAACAACTTGACCATTTTGCTCAAAGAAGACTTGGTGGAAGAAGATGCCACGGAAGCTTGCAGTTCTTCCATGGAAGGATCCTTTCACAGTCAAGCGCCACAGTTGGAGGAGCTCACAGGCGACGAACAAGACAAGTTGTTGGCAGACTCAGTATCCGAGCACAGCGCTGCCAACAACGATCGCTTGGGAGTACGTGCCAAGAAACAGTTCAACAAGACCGTCTCCAAACTTCTGGCCACACCCAGGCGCCGCAGAACCCAATTGTCGGAACGATTGAACATGTCCTTGGCAACCTTGCAGATCTAGATATACATTACAGCAGCACGGTATCGGTAGAAACAAAAAAGTCAGTGACACGAGATTACATGGAACCCCTAATGAATGGGTAGTACACTCGGCCCAGATCTACAAGGAACAGTGCATAATAACTGTAACAAGAATCCTAGAACTGTAAACGTACGTCTTTACCATATTATAAAAGCTTACGAGGGTTATCATTGAGCACGTAGCGTGAAGCTCCTCTTTTTTGGAACGCAACAGCCTGGAGAGCCAACTTCCCACTGGCACACGTCAGTCGAGTTAGTCAGGGATTGTTCAAGGATACATTCCCATTACATAGTCTTAGCGTTGGAAGAGACGCAAAGCTGGAAGGACATTAGAGCTTGACAAAGGTGGGGATAGAAACAGTACATGGTATGATGGTACAGTATACGGTATTGCCAGTCTCAACTGCTTATTCTCTCGGATGATCCTGCTAAGATTCAGATTACTGTAGAGATCGAATGCATGTGAATGATTCGATTCGATTCGATTCAAAATAATCTTCAATCAATCATTCAATCGTGGACAGAACAAGGTGGATTGATGGTTCAGTACTGTATACAGGTCGTACACTGTACCGGAGCTTCTGAAGTAGATTAGACATCAGATTCTATTTAAACGGCACCTTCATGCGAATTCTAAAGAAGGCCACCAATCCAGACCAGTTCAAGTTGGGAGATAGTGGATTTAGAAGGGTGTTAGCTAGGGTGTTCACGTAGATTTAAAAATCATTTCAAAGAGAAGCCACAGGGAGCACATTTATTAACAACCAATAAATTTCGCTGTTTTTGGCAAGTGGTCAATCGAAACATACTAGACTAGACTACATGGAGTACTAACATGACATTGTGTTCAACGTGCAATTGCCCAATTATTAATTGCCCACACAGCACACAGCTCGCACGAGCTGCTCTTCCGCATTTCGCAGAGCTTCCACCGATGGTGCGGTCTTTCCATCGAGCCATCGAGAGCTCCATCCACCAGCCACGAGCAACCTGTTGTCCCAAAAAACCTTTTGGCTAGCTTACTGGCTAGCCTAGCTAGTAATAGTCCTTTGTCGAGCCCCCACAAACATTGTTTTGAAAAGCAGGAAGGATGCAACAGGCTACCCAAGGGAAAGAAGATGATATGGAAGGGAGTTTCACACTGGCTGACCTGGAGGCTCAGCTGGACAGGTTGAATACCGTGGGTGAAGGATGTCCCGAACAGGAAGAGTCGGCACAAATAATAACCGCCGAAGAAACGCATCAGAAAAGTCCCTCCATGGAGCAGGGAAAAGAAGAAGAAGAAGAAGAAGCAGAAGCCAAAAACATGAAAGCTGACACCACCAAGGCTGTATCATCGTCAGACCAACCAAGCCAGCAAAAGACAAATAAGGACGACCCATCTTCCCATCAAGGAGGAACAGCCACGGAACAACCAAATCCGGAAACTAGCCATCCGGGTGCCTATGCCATGGCACCTACCGGCAGTACCGATGTCGAGGAAAACGACGCTCAAACGGGCCTTCCAGCAGAAGCCGCTATTAATGCAACATCTCAGGCTCCAGATGATAATGGCTTGGCTGTGGCCAATCCAGTAGAGGAGGAAGCTCTTCCTCTCCACCAACTACCCCAAGCCCACAATCTTGATGCGGTGCAACAAGCATCACAGAGAAGGCAGCAAGAGACCAAGAAATTCAAGATTCTGGTGCTTTCAGGAACCTTGCTCCTTATTGTCATGGTTGTGGTCACACTGACTGCTCTCGTCCAGAGAAAGGAACCAATGGCTCCGTCACTGCCAGTGCCAACACCGAGTCCCTCAGCTGCAGCTGACGCCGGTTTACGCTTTTCCTTCTTGGGTCCCGACACTTTTCAAGCTCTCCAGAATCCAGCATCACCTCAATCCCAAGCATACAAGTGGCTATTGGATGATCTACAAACAAATTTAAATTCAACCATGCTATACTCAGAGGACCGGATCAAACAAAGATTTGCTCTTGCCACCTTTTTTTACAGCACCAACGGAAACAACTGGACCTCTCAAATCAGATTGCTCAGCATCCCCAATGGGACTAGTAGTCCAAACCCAGATGACTACTTTCGTCCAGACGAAAGCTTGGTACACTATGGAACCACACCAGCCAACAACAAGACCACGCCAAACTCTTCACCCCAAGGAGCCAATGAACCTGATCAACAGCAGGCATATCCGTATAAACCATGGCTCAGTTCTCATCATGAGTGTAGTTGGTGGTCGCTAGCACACATCAATGGGTTCGACACTTGCAGAAATGACACCTCCTACGTGTCCCTTGATTTGGAAGGGAACAATTTAGCAGGTCAGCTGCCACCAGAGCTTGGTCTACTCACAACATTGGAGGGTCTCTATCTGGGACGCGACAGTCAATTGAACGGGACTATCATCTCTCAAATTGGGCAACTGACCAATCTCAAAGAGTTGGATTTGGGACTAGCAGAGTTCTCAGGGACACTTCCAACCGAGTTGGCATTGCTCTCAAATTCATTGCAGTACTTGGCCATTATGAGAAATCAGCTCTCAGGAAGCTTTCCAAGCCAACTACTGGCTCTGTCCAAGCTAGAACAGCTCAAGATGGGATACAACAAGTTCGAGGGAACTATACCAGGGGACATTGGCACCAAGCTTTCCAATCTCCATGTATTCACCACCCCAGGTGGCGGCCTACAAGGTACAATTCTATCCTCCCTGTTGCACTGTTCCAATTTGACCTTTATTGATGTTGCAGAGAACCAGTTCATGGAAGAGCTGCCCTCGGAGTTGGGTGCCTTGACGCGCCTAACACGGCTCTTTCTACCCAACAATCAATTTCGAGGAACAATCCCGTCGGAGCTAGCATTGCTTCCCAAGCTGGCCAAACTGAACCTCCACAACAATGCAAACGTCACAGGGCCGCTGCCGCCAGAGTTTTCAGCTCTAAATGGCAGCTTGTCTGTATTGCAAATTCAAGGGACAAGAGTCACTGGGACAATCCCGGATGCTCTGTGCAGCATCAACAAGCTCAGATTTGATTGTTCAGAAACTCTTTGTGGTTGTGATTGTCCCTGTTGAACACAGCTTCTGGCTCACAACCTAGACTCATGGCTGCCTCGAGGTGTTGATTACAACCTTTGAAATGAAAAGGAACACTTGCGGTCTCAAGGTAGAGTCATTGGAGTTTCTCAGACTGAATCGTAATAGATTCACAGGTGGGGTCCCAAGTGAACTGGGGAAGAATGCAAATCTGACATGGCAATCTGCTGGAAGACACTCTACCAATGGAGCTCGGTCTGGCCAGAGCTCTGAAACAGATTCAAGCAGAAGGCAACCAACCAACTCAGGCCAGCTACCCAGTGAACTTGGCCTACTCACGAACTTTAAGAATCGCACCCTTGATTTGAGCGATATCCTTAGAGTCTGCCCACACATTCTCTGGATGGGAAATCTCTGCTCGCTGGGTCTGCCCCTGTAAATCTCTGTACCCTCAATGGTACTTGTGTAGGAAGCTTTGTGAAGGCATGAACAGGGCCGCTTGGTTTTTCTTTTGAATGGACAGAGATGCTGTGTGGTTGAGGGTGCTCTTGAATGGACTCTTCCAAGGGACACTAGCCAGCTAGTTGGTGAGTACCTTTTCATGGGTGTGTTCCCGCTCTCCAGTATCTGCAAGGCACACAGCTCCTTCCATTTCCTTTGTACAGGAAGTATATCGGAAGTAGGGTCGGAAGTATCCGTGTCGTTAGCCGGGGAAGAGGTATCGGTGCGAGGCAAGGAGGAATCCTCGACGTCTCTCCAATACATAAGATAGAAACAAAGTCAGTGACTTGGAGCCCCTTATGAATGGGTAGTACACTCGGTCCGGATCTACAAACAACAGTGCATAATAAGTGTATAAGTGTAACAATCTAGAACTGCAAACATGCGTCTTTACCACAAAAATTACAATGGATGCATGTACTACGGTAGTACACCAGAAAGACGGTTATCTTTGAGTACTTGAATCTCCTCTTTTTGGGCGGCCATCCTGGAGAGCCAGCTTACCAATGGGCCGGCCGTTTTGGGAGTCTGGGATTGTTCAAGGACCGATGCATGACCATGACATACGGTAGATGGCGCGAGGAAAGGTCGAATCATGGCATTTAGCCCAAAGAGAGGGAAAGCCGGGAAGACCTTTGCGAAGTCTCGACGGAATCCCTTTGCACTGCCAGTAGCTGGCTGGCTAGCTGGCTATTAATAGCTTGCAGCACACCGGGGCGATAGATCAACCAAGCGAAGACACAGTAGCTGATAAGAATCTTGAAAACTATGACATAACTGAGGTGGGGATAGCAAACTGTGCGCGGGTACAGTGTATATTGCCAGCCTCAACGGCTTATGCTCTGAATGTTAGCTTACATGCTTGCGAATGATCAATCATTCGATGGATTGAATAATTCTCATTCAACCATAGCTGACATGCCGAAGCCTACATGTACCGGTATATTTATCAAAGATCGTAAATCGTAAATGAGACAGCTAATAATGAGACACACAAAGCTCGCAAGCCTATCGTTACAAATTCTTTTAGCTTCTGATGACATTGTACTAGTAGATTAGACGTTTTATTGGAAACTCGGAACACATTGAGCATACAGCGAATTCCATAGAAGGAGAAGGAGCCAGATGAGGAACCGGTTGACAGTTCACGAGTCAAATTCGGTTTTAATGGATTTATTAGAGTTCTTATGACCACTTTTAGGAGCATTCTTTTACTATCTCGCCATTGACCATTGGCCAATGGCGACCAGTACATGTATGTATGCATAAAGGTACGAGGTACTAATACGAGTACGAGTACTAGTACAGTCGAACCTCGTTTTGACTTCACACTGAAGTTCACAAACCATCATGATAAAGCTATAGCTCATGATAATTTCGATCATCATGATCCATTCGATTCTCAGTTTTGGCACGAGAGTTCTCTGAGTGTGAGTCGAGTACCTGGTAGATGTCGAGCGACAGTCCGTACCGCCACGGACCACAACACCAGCAAACAGCAACCTGTTGACCTTTCATCTGGCTCTAATAGTCTAGATAGCTTGTTCCAGTAATCGATTGGACTTATCTCGAGTCTACACATTATTTTGTAAAGGAGGCAGAATGCCAAAGGCCACCCAAGGGAACGAAGATGATAAGGAAGAGGGTTTCAATCTAGCTGACATAGCTGACCTGGAGGCTCAGCGCGACAGGTGGAATACCTTGGCAGTAGTGGGGGAAGGAGGTTCCGAGGAAGAGTCGGCGCAAACAGCCGCGGAAGATGATGGACAGCTCGAAAGTCCCAGGCTACCCATGGAGCAGGGAAAAGAAGTCCAAGCAGCCAAAAACATGAAAGCTGACACGGTCACCACAAAGGCTGCGCCATTAGACCAAACAAGCCAGCTAAAAGCAAACACTAAAGAACCAACTTCACAACAACAGCAACAAGGACGAACACTCACGGAACCACCAAATCCGGGAACAAATCTTATTCCGGGTGCCTACGCAATGGCACCTACCGGTACTGGTAGCACCAATGGCGAGGAAAACGACCTTCCAACAGAAGCCGATAATGCAACAGCTCCAGGTCTCGATGATAATGGCTTGGCTGTGGCCAATCCAGTAGAGGAAGCTCTTCCTCACCACCAACTACCCCAAGCCCACAATCTTGATGCTGCGCAACAAGCAGCACGGAGACGGCAGCAAGAGACCAAGGAATTCAAGATTCTTGTGCTTTTTGGAACCTTACTCCTTATTGCCACCATTGTGATCACACTGACTGTTCTAGTCCAGAGAAAGGAACCAATGGCGCTTTCACTGCAAGTGCCAACACCGAGCCCTTCGACTGCGGTCAACTCCACTGCTGAAGCCGGTTTACGCTTTTCCTTCTTGGAGGAGGATCCAGACACTCTTCAAGCTCTCCAGAATCCAGGATCACCTCAATCCCGAGCATACCAATGGCTTTTGGATGATGTACTAGCAAATCTGACTTCCTATTCAGAGGACCGGATCAAACAAAGATTTGCTCTTGCCACCTTTTTCTACAGCACCAATGGACACAACTGGACCTCTCAAATCAGATTGCTCAGCAATCCCAAGAATGGGACTAGTCCAAGCCCAGATGACTACTTTCGTCCAGAAGAAAGCTTGGCATGGTATGGAACTGCACCAGCCAACAAGTCCACGCCAAGTTCTGCGCCCCAAGGAGCCCAACAGCAGGCCCATCCGTATGAACCATGGCTGAGTTCTCATCATGAGTGTAGTTGGTGGTCACTAGCACACATCAATGGGTTCTCCACCTGCAGAAGTAATGACTCCGCTTACGTGTCCCTTGACTTGGAAGGGAACAATTTAGCAGGTCAGCTGCCACCAGAGCTTGGTCTACTAACAACATTGGAGGGTATCCATCTGGGAGGTATTGATCTGAGAGGACGTGACAGTCCATTGAATGGGACCATTTTCTCTCAAATTGGGCAACTGACCAATCTGAGAGAGTTGGATTTGGGACTCGCACACTTCTCAGGGACACTGCCAACCGAGTTGGCCCTGCTCTCAAATTCATTGCAGTACTTGGCCGTTATGAGAAATCAGCTCTCAGGAAGCTTTCCAAGCCAACTACTGGCTCTGTCCAAGCTAGAACAGCTCAAGATGGGATACAACAAGTTCGAGGGAACCATACCAGGGAATATTGGCACTAAGCTTTCCAATCTCCATGTATTCACCACCCCAGGCAACAACCTACATGGTACAATTCTATCCTCCCTGATGCAATGTTCCAATTTAACCTTTATTGATGTTGCTGAGAACCAGTTCATGGAAGAGCTGCCCTCGGAGCTGGGTACTTTGACGCACCTAACACGGCTCTTCCTTCCCAACAATCGATTTCACGGAGCCATCCCGTCGGAGCTAGCATTGCTTCCCAAGCTGGCCAAACTGAACCTCCACAACAATGCAGACCTTACGGGGTCACTTCCTTCAGAGTTTTCAACTCTAAACAGCAGTTTGTCTGTATTGCAAATCCAAGGGACACGAGTCACTGGGACAATCCCAGATGCTCTGTGCAGCATCAACAAGCTCAAATTTGATTGTTCAGAAACTCTTTGTGGTTGTGACTGTCCCTGTTGAGCATAGCCTCTGGCTCACACTTGAGTGATAACTATTTCTCAGGATTGATTCCAACATAAAGCTTGGACTCTTGACAGGTCTGCAAGAGCTGCATCTCAGGGACAACTCATTATCCAGCACCATCCACCATGAGCTATCCTCAGAGTCTACCCACACAATATCTCTGGGTGGGAATCCTCTGCTCACTGCATGGGTCTGTCCCTGGGAATCTCTGTACCTTCAATGGCAATTGTGTAGGAAGCTTTGTGAAAGCATCCACAGGGCTGTTTGGTTTGTCTTTTGACTGCGCAGAGATGCGGTGTGGTTGTGGGTGCTCTTGTGTGGATTTGATTCTTCCAAGGGACAGTAGCCAGCTCTAGAGGTAGTGAGTACCCTTCATGGGTGTGTTCCCGCTCCCAACTATTTGCGCATGGAACACAGCTCTCCTTCCAGTTCCTCTGTACCTGCAGTCTAAAGGGGGTTTAGAGTACTAGTAGGTAGAATTTTCCCCGTTTCATGAGCTTCCTCAATCTACATGGCACGCTCTGCGTGTAATGGCAATCTATCTACTTTTCTACGAACTTACAGCGTTGTTCTATGCTTCAAGCTTACGAAGGAGTGCGTCCAATGTGTCTTTTCTGTGGCCCCCTTGCTACGGTACAGGTCCACTACAGTGTCTTCCTGTGGTGATGGTAGCGTTGAAAGTCGTTGACCGGGCCCTTCAGCAATCTGAATATACCCGCCCAAACGGTGTTTCGCGCATGAATGTGGTGGACACTATCGATGCACTTGTTAGCTATACTGTTACAGTAACCGAGTTGCCATCCGATACTCAATGACCGTCGGAAGCACGAGGACTGTCTTTGAGCGACGTTTCGTCCTTCAAGGAAGAATCGGTATCGGTGCTCAGGGATAGATCGGTAGTAGGGTCGGAAGTATCTGTGTCCTGAGCCGGGGAAGAGGCATCGGTGCGAGGCAAGGAGGAATCCTCGACGTCTCTCCAATACATAAACATCAAAACCGATACTACTCCAGTCAATGGATGCCATATCAAGCCATGTGGCTGCCAGAGGCCGTGCGGGTGGCACATAAAGTTTCCTGTTTGGGAGGCAATCCAGCAAAACAATGCCACCGAGATGCAACAAAAGGCCAACCCCAACCAACGGCGTGTCTTAGCAAGTGTGGTCAGGTTCATCAAGAACGCAGACATCAGGCTGTCCAGGCCATCCGAAATGGACGAAAAACGGAAATGGTGCCAGCAGAATAACAATGAGATGAGTTGGTCCGGCTTTTGGCAAGTTCCGTGGCGACGTTGGTATCTCGTCATCTCGGTGGTCACTCTGGTGATTGCAAATTACTGCTTTGCCGAAGTGTTCGTGTTTGTGGCAAACCGCCACGGTGCGGTATTGTTTGACCCAGTACTGGCATTGTTTGATCCCATTGACAATAGTGTTGCCATCTCTCTGGTCCTCTATTCCTCCATGGGGCTCTACTTTTCGGATCAACTCTTTCGACCCAGAGCTCTCCTCGCTGGTAACCACTCCCTCTTTCTCGTCATTTCCATTCGAGCCATCACACTCCTCTTGACACCCTTGGAAGCTCCGCCCAAAGTCATCCCCCTTGGCGACCCCGTCTTGCGGCTTCTCTTCCACACCAGCACGGACTACACCAAGGATCTATTCTTCTCGGGGCACACTGCCACAACGACCTTGATGTGCCTCAATGCGAGAGGATGGCGCAGAAACGTCCTACTCTTATCCACTTTGCTGGTGGCAACGGGTGTTCTCTTGCAACATGCCCACTATACCGTGGATGTGGTTGGGGCTCCATTCATTGCATTCACCTGCTACAAGATCGCGGTTTGGTTTGATGCCATAATGCCATACAAGGTTTGCAGCAAGGTTTGCATTCATTGAATCCACCAAGCCCTATTAATAGCATTCATAATCTCACCCAACCAACACTGAGCTGTGATCCAAAAGGGTGTAGCCAGTCGCTAGTTTCTGTAGCTAAGAATGACTAAACAACCCGCTCAGACTGCTGCTGTCACTGACTCCGGCAACCGTAGCCGCTGGTGAAGGCGGCGCGTCCTTGGGCGGGTTACGAAAGGCTGGATCTTGTATTTGAAAGGACTCGGCAAGAGAAGCCAGCGTGGGATTGTTCCTGGGAGCATCGCCACCTTCTGTGGGGCAACTGCACTGACAGGAGCAAGTGATTTGGTTACAGTCCACAGCAAGGGTCTTGAGAGTCCCATTGGTTTTCAGGGCGCAAAGCTCCGCTGGAACGGTACCAGTCAAGGCTAGCACATGCAACCAAATGCTCTCAAGTTTGGTGAGAAGTCCAAGCTCACTGGGGATCATTCCTGGTGGGAAATAACGGAGCAGTTCATCGACGTTATTAGCACGCATGATAAGACCACGCAAAGGTTTGTCTTTTCATTTCTCTGATGCACCTACCTGATAAATAATTCTCATGGAGATAAATACCTGTAATGGAGGCACCCAACAATCCTAGCTCTGAAGGAATAGAACCCGTCAGCTGCATACCGTAAAGCGAAAGTTCCTTCAGCTTTGGCAACAGCCCGAGCTCCGATGGTATCGCCTTGTTCATGTTCTGAAAACAATATCACAGTGATGTTAGATGAGTCGAGTCGGCCGCACTCGCCAGGCAAAGATGACGGCAATGCACACTCGATCAACTTACGTTGCGTTCAAGGTAGACCCACTCAAGGTTCGTGAGCAACGAAAGTTCCAGTGGAATGGAGCCGCTCATTGCATTCCACGAAAGATCCATCCAAGTCAGCGTATTCGACAGCAACGAAATCTCCGGCGCAAGAGTGCCTCGGAGATCATTGTGATCAATCTTGACTTTGGTCAGGGAAGGCATGAAGAAGAGTTCAAGGGGAATTGTATTGGACAAACGGTTTGTCTCGATAGCAAGAGACTGCAGCTGGAAGCATTGCGCCAGCTCTGTCGGGATCGATCCAACAATGCGGTTGTCTCCTGCATGAAACTCCACCAGCTGAGTCATGAGCCCAAGCTCGGTCGGAAGCATTCCTGTGAGCTGATTGTTTGTCAAATGCAACCATTGCAGTGTTGCTGCTGAACCAGAGATCGCGGGAGGGATGGCCCCATCGAATCGATTGCCGTCCAACAGTAACACTTGGAGAGCGGGCATGGAACCCAGTTCCGACGGCAGCAAACCCGTCAAATCATTGTTCGACAGTACTACATGCGCCAATGAAGGTGCCGTGGTCAGGGGTACGCCATTCACATCGAAAGAGCCCGTTAGGGCGTTTGCGTCCACATACAACTCCACCAAGGAAGTCAGCCGTCCGAACCGTAATGGCCCCCATAGCTTGTTGGCAGACATGTACAAACGGAGTAGATTGGCAGCCAGTTGCCCGATTTCCACTGGGATGGTCCCCGACAACTGGTTGATGTTGAGCTGCAGAGTGTCCACGGCCGTCAAACTTCCTATCTGCGCTGGAATTGTGCCATTCAACGCATTGCTGCCAAGATAGACCTTGGTGAGGGCAGACAGCGCCATGATTTGAGTAGGCACCGTGCCCGTCAAGCCTGACTTTTCCATATCCAACACAGTCAAGGCGGTGAGCGCACCAATGGATGTAGGAATGGGTCCGGACAAAGCGTTCTCATGAATTTGGAACAGTTGAAGATTGGAGAGCAGTGCTATTTCATCTGGGAGTGTACCAATCAACGAGTTGTTGGCTAGCCGAAGTGCTTGGTAGGCGTCGTAGGCTGCCGCGTTCTCCAGACAGGTTGTCAATCCCGCCGAAGCATCTTCCAGTCGATACAAAACAGACGGTGTAGACGCCCAGGAACATTCATTGCCTTGCTCCGTCGTGAGCCAACCAGTGCTGGTACCCCACGAGTTGTAGTCGGGAGGTTGACTGGTGGAGTAAAACATTGTGGCCAAGGCGAACCTCTGCAGCTGTTGCTCGTTCGTGTACGTCGTCACGGCAGGATCCCCGATCAACCAATTGTATGCCTGTGCTTGTGGACCGGAACTATCGGCTGAGATGGCACCAACGCTGTAAGCGGGCAATATCGACAACAGGTCGGCCGTACGCGGGGCCCCTCCAGTTGGACACTCGCACTGCTGACATGTGCAAGCCACAATGTTGCAGTCCACGGTGAGTTGCTGTAGCTTTGGCAAGGCACAAATCTCCTCCGGTACAGTCCCCGTCACCAGCGGATTGGAGTGCAGTTGCAACACTTCCAGATTGCCCAGTGCTCCTATCTCTCTGGGTATTGTGCCATTAAAGTTGTTGCTCGAAAGCAAAATCTGTCGTACTTGTGTGGCTGCACCGGCGATGTAGAATGTGGGCAAAGGTCCAACAAATTGATTGCCCGCGAGGTTCACATCTTGAATGTATGGGTATTCCCGAACCAATAAGGGCAGTGTCCCTGTGAATTGATTGTTTTGAATCTGCAACGAAGTCAATTGCGATAGCAACGCCAGTTGTTCTGGTATGGTGCCTGTCATTTGGTTGTCGTTGATCCACAACTCTCGAACATGGCGTAGCTGACCGACAATAGTGGGAAGCGTACCCTGTAGAGAATTTCCAGACAGGATCAAGCTAAATAGGAAATCTTGCCAGAATCGTATACTATCAGGGATGGTACCGAGCAATCCTGGATTGTTGGTGATGTGTACATTTTGTAACTGCAAGAGTGCACGAATTGACAAAAGCAAACAAAGTGAGAAAGATTGCCAGAAATGGAAATCTGCAACTCGTCGTGAACTGGATCATCGTACCGACGTGAGAAGTGCAATTTCTGGTGGCAAGGTCCCTTGCAAGAGTCCCTGACCGGTCAAGTTGAGGGTGGTGCCCTTGGCAAATGCGCTTTCGTATAGTTGTCGTTCCAGTTCTCGTTCTTGTTGATGTCGGGCGTCTAAATAAGTCTGTTCAGACACTGTCGAGGCGTTACCCGAGTAACGCTCACGCTCTCGTCGTTGTCGTAGGTACCGTTGTCCAGGCGCCACTGTAGTGGAGTTGTTTGTTGAGGGCGCCACTGTGGTGGAGTTGTTGTTGTTCGTGGGAGCCGCGGTTGAGTTTAAAGTGGTGGGAGCCGCAGTAGTGGAGTTGTTATTTGTGGGAGCCACTGTCGTGGCATTGGAAGCCGCGGTCGCCACTGCAGTGGCGTTGTTAGTTGTGGGGGCCACTGTTGTGGCATTGGAAGCCGCAGTAGTGGAGTTAAACGTTGTGGGAGCCGCAGTAGCGGAGTTAGTGGAGTTGCTAGTTGTGGGAGCCACTGTAGATGAGTTGGTTGTTGAGGGCACCACTGTAGTGGAGTTGTTTGTTGCGGTCGCCGCTGTAGTGGAGTTGGAAGTTGTGGGAGCCGCTGTAGTGGAGTTGGTTGTTGAGGGTGCCACTGTACTGGAGTTGTTAGTTGTCGGAGCCAACGTCGTCGAGTTGCTATTCGTGGTCGCCACTGCTGCAGTGGAGTTGTTATTTGTGGGAGCCACCGTTGTGGCATTGGAAGTCGTTGCAACTGTGGTTGAGTTGTTTGTTGTGGGAGCTACTGTCGTGGCGTTGTTTGCTGTGGTCACCACAGTGGTGGGAGCTATTGTTGTCCCTACAAGTGGAGGTGTTGTGGATGCCGTCGTGGTGGGAATGATGGTTCCCAAAGGAGCATTTGTCGTCCCTGGTGCTGCTGTGGCGGTAAGATCCGATGGTGCAATGGTCTCCAATATGGGCGGTGTTGTCCCTACTGGTAGTAGAGGATTGGTCGTAGTCGCTGTCGTGCTAGGCGTAATGGTTCCCAATGGAGACGTTGTAGTCCCGACAATAAAGGGAGGTGTTGTGCTAGCTGCATTGGATGGTGTAATCGTGCCCAACGGCGCTGTCGTGCTGGGAGTAATGGTTCCCAATGGATTGATGGTGGTTCCTCCTCCTGGAACTACTGTGGCCAATGGATTGATGGTGGTCGTTCCAATTGTGGGCTCCACCGTTGCTGTTCCTGGAACTACTGTAGTCAATGGATTGATGGTCGTCGGCGGCACAGTTGTATTGTTTGGACTGATTGTGGCCGAGACACTGACTGCCGGCACCGCCACGGGTTGTCCGGCACACGTATAATAGGGAAATTCACAGGCACTTTTATAGGCATATGCCGATTCGGGCAAGACAAACCCATCCGTGCGTTGCCATGCCGATCCTCCCGTGGCCACGTACAGTGTCATGAGCGCAAATCGGGTGTATCGTTCCTGTTGTGTGTAGTTGGCATAGTTAGGATCGGCTTGCAACCAATTCAATGCCGTGGCTTGTTCCGAGACGGGATTGGCGAGGGCGGTTTCGGTGTAATCCGGCAAGACAATGGGGGCGGCAGTAGGTGTCGTGGGCGCTGGTGTTGGGGCATTGGCGCTATCAATGACGGATTTGGCGAGAAAGTATCCTCCCAGGACCAGCCCCGTAACGAGCAAGATCAACACGAGACATGCCAGAAGGGGTCCACATTTGCGATGCTTTGGTTCGTGTTGGTGTGCTGGAAACAATGCTTCGTAGTCTTGTCGTCGTCGTTCGATCAATGCCGCCGTGGCATCGATCTGTTCTTGCAATCGAGCACGTTTCTCGGCGAGTTCATTGGGGTCTTTGGGAGGTTTGGGGCGGGGCATGCGAAGTGGTTTTTTGCGGTCGTCGTCCTCGTCTTCATCTTCGAATGCTTCTTCTTCTTCTTGCTCGGAGGAGGATGAAAAGTCGTCGTCATCATCCGTGGCACTGACGGCTCCACTATGGTGCATGTTGTTTCGTTTGGAGTTTAGATTGGTGGACTGATCCATGGCAAAGGAAGCTTCATTGTTGGGCATGCTGTTGTGAATGTCGTCATCTTCCGATTGAGAGTTTTCAAAGCTGTCGTTGCTTTTGGCGTCTTCATTGGGAGACTCGAAAATGGGTTGACTGGAATCGAGTTGACTTTTGATGGATCTCCGTAAGTCGTCTGTAGTCATGGAAGCTTCGCCCGATGAGGCGAATTCGAGTGGATTGAGACTGGCCGACGATTGCTGGGATTGCTTGAAGGATGATGCTTGTGATTTCTGTTGTTTGATGGAGCCTTGTGATTTTTGTTTTTGTGGATGTTTGGAACCGCTCATGGATTGCGACTGGGATTGATTCATTGCGGCAGCACGGAGTTTAGCAGCCGCCGACTGCACACTGGCACTATTATGATCTGTCTGTTTCTTTTTCTTTTTGCCTCCTGCCATCAAGGCACTCAGTGTCAACGAGACTCCCGATTCTTGAAAGAACGAAGCTTCATTGGGATCAAAAAAGGACGACGAATCAGAACCCTCTTCTTCTTCATCTTCTTCATAATCTTCATAGATGGAATTCATTTCCGTCATTTTAGAAGTAAAGGAATTGTTGTTGTTGTTGTTGTTGCGTCCCACTGAAATGGATGTGGCCGGTTTCACCAACGGATTCTCCCATGTCGTCGCTTGACTCCCGTCAATGGGATAGTAGTAATAGGCACCTCGCGAAGGATCCCAGTGTTTCGCCCATCCCGCATCGTACAAATCGTCGTCCGATGGAACCAACAACGCACTCCCGTGCAAGTGTTGACTCATTCCTCCTTCGGACATCTTGATGTAGTTGTTTGTTTGATTGTAGTTCTATCTATCTAATGTATATGCTAGCTATAGTGGTGGTGGTGTCCCCAGACATTTTCATTTCACACGGACCCGTCAACCTGGTATGGCATCATGGTCTTGGTTCTTTCTCGTTTCTTGTGCTGGTTTCTGGTCGAAGCCAGTCTTGTAAAAGTTAGAGAAATCAACAGAGCTGTTGAAAGTCAACATGGAAGACCATCGACCAGTGCAAAGGACCGGGCGCCGGAACAAACCACACCAAAGGTCCTTCACTTGGCACAATTTCAGGCTCAATAACTATGTTTGAGAAACAGAGCTGTTCAAATAAATTCAGTCTGTGCGATCGAATTTGCAAGCCACTCGATCGATCCCGTACTGTATTCTTGAAGCGGTATGTAGAGTATAAAGTCCATCTCTTCTAAAATCCGTACCTCTACTCTTGACCACAGTTACAAGTCAGTCAGCCAGTCAAATCTCTGCCAGAGCGACTCGACTCGACTCAAATCAAATCAAATGAAATCCAAGCATATTAGATCCACAGTACTACCGTAGGAGTGGAAGTGTGATCAGGATGGAGAAAAATGAACAAGCGACAAATACATGTATGAGTGTTATTAGCTACTGCCTCACGGGGGTTTAGAAAGTCTTCATAGGTGGGCAATCTAACTAAGGAAGTCAAGTCAGGCTTACCTAACTAGCTAGCTAAGCAAACAAGAGCAAAATATATGTGCCATTCTGAATTTTCCACGCTGCGATATCGATTTCAATTGCCGTGGAACCCCCATTGCCGTGGAAACTCTTTCGCACTGGCCAACACCAGCCCATCCGCATACATACATAACTCCACAAGAAGCAAGAGGGCGACCCACAATACAAGACGGAAACCCATCTAGCTTCTAGCAAGTACGTACATCTTTAGAAGTAAGGAAGCAACTATACAGGTATCACAGGCAGAAAGCATAGAATGTCAAATAATCAGCCCAAAGAAGAAGGGAAGGAAGTGGTTCCAAGAACCTCATCAGCCGAGATGCAGCCACCACCACCAAAGAAAACTTGCATCAGAAGCAGAGAAGAACCCGATGTGACCATTGTGGTTGGTGGTGTAGAGTTCAAGGAGTATGGCCAAACCTTGCGTTGCTGGAGTGATTTCTTTGACACGGCATTGAGTAGTGGAATGAAAGAGGCTGTCACCAAACGTTTTGAGTTTCCCGACCGTGATCCCAAAGAATGGGAATGGATTGTCAGTTTGATGTCACCCATTGCTCCAGTTACTGTTGACAAGGAAAACCTACCCATTGCTCTATCATGGTTTGATCAACTAAGCAGTCCAATTGGGATGAAAGAGTGTGGTGGAGTCCTTAATTAATAGGGTGTTGGGCCAGTTTTCCTATAAGTCCAAAAGAGAGATTACGCAAGAGGATGCAAACTCAGTCATTGAGCATCTGGAAACAGCGATCCGGTATAATCTTCCCGAGTCCATAGAGGAGTGTATTCCCCTTCTTGGCAAATTTCTGAAGGAATATCAAATGGTCTTTAACATGGATATGTTGAAGCGCATCGTTGGGCTCATCAAACAAAACCGAGGCAGCCTACAGAACCTCTTGGATACACTTCTATCATTTCTTCCTGATTCCATTTCTCCGGAGAAAAAGGAGCTTCTATTTGAGCATGATCTACTGCATGAGTACCTGCACATTCAGTGTGCACGCAAGTATCACCAGCATCGAGATGAAACCTATCTATCCAGAGTGATTGAAATTGTCACAAAGCACATAGTACGCGGGCAGCGACAGGTTGTCACTTTTTCTCTGGAAGATGATGGTACGGTTGGACACTTGTTTGGTCGAAGACACGATTGATGAAAGGAAGACGACTTCCTGCTCCTGTTACAGAATGGGACATGCTCATTTAGCGTAACAGCATAGTAGCTTTCGAAATTTACGCTGTAAGCTGGGTTGCTGCTTCTGCTTCCATAGACCTACTGCGTCCTCCTACCTTCGTTCCCCACAAGTGAGCTACCCGGGTAGCTAGAGCAGAAAAGAAGCAAACCTCTGGTACGCTACCTTTGGCCAACAGGCCTTGGTACATGTAAGCATATTTGCCCTGAAAGACCACGCTGTAGCTAGACAGCTGGCTGAGGGCCCACCAGACGAACCTCATGTTGGCATCTGTTTTCCACGCTACGGTATGCACATGCAATTCAACTTCTTGCGAGAGTGTCGTATTATTGAATCTTGATTCACGATGGAAGCAACGTCGCTGGCAGTGCCATGGGAACTTTTGCTGCCGCTCAAAAAAATTCCAACTGATAACTAAGGTTTTCTTGGGAGAATCGCAGTTGTTGGGAGAACCTCAGCTCCAACAACGAGGGCAACACAGCCACAATTACTAGTACGGTACCAGCGAGCTCATATCATAGCTGAAACGGAGATAGGATAGAATGTCGTCTGAGTCCACAAAAGGGAGTGAAGTTGTTGCAACCTCATCAGAGACACAGCCACCGCTAAAGAAAACTTGGATTCGATGCCATCAGAGACACAGCCACCGCTAAAGAAAACTTGGATTCGATGCAAGGCTGAACCTGATGTGACCATTGTGGTTGGTGGTGTGGAGTTCAAGGAGTATGGCCTAAAAGTCTCCGCTGTTGGAGCCAGTATTTTGACGCAGCCCTCGACATTGGCATGAAGGAGTCTTCCACCAAGTAATTTGAGTTTCCGGACCGAGATCCCAAGGAATGGGAATGGATTATATCCTTGATGGCTCCACTCTCAACAGTGAAGGTTACCAAAGAGAAACTCAACATTGCTCTATCATGGTTTGATGAGTTGGGCTCAAGCCTTGGCATGGAGGAATGTGACAGAGTCCTTGATTCACAAGTCTTGGAGCCATTGGCTGGAGATCATACCCAAGACACAGCTGATGCAGTTGTAGAAGGCCTGGAAACTGCTGTAAGATATTATGATCTGATTCATTCTCAGGAATGCTGTTTTGAACTTGTACACCAACTCCTGGAGAAATCACCTACCAGCTTCAGCGAAGAGTCTCTCAGGAAACTTGTTTTGCTCATTAAAGGCCATGAAATCTGCCGCACTTCTCTCATGGTAGTTCTGAAGACGTTCTTGCCAGAATCCATGACAAGTGAACAACAGGAGTTGTTGATTCAGAATGGAATCCTGCATCATTATCTGAAGAGCCAAATTTTACTGAAAAGGGTTGTGGAGATAGTGAATGAAACAAATATGTAGTGAAGCTTCGCGCGAAAAGGGCGCATGTACCTCTGCACCTCTGCAGCCCCGATTCATTCCTCACTTTTGTTCTTTTCTTGGATCGATCGATCTTGTGAAGCTTTAGAGCAATAACACTAGTAATGCTGCTTCAAAGCCCAACTTGGGGTGCCTTCTAGTTCTAGCACCATAGGCACAGTCACAGGCTAGTCCACATGAGCTGATGTTGTAGGTCACTGAAAGTAGCTCTCGAGTAGCCCACAAGATATCGATTCAAGAACTTATCGTGTGAAGATCTCACAGTCTACCTGTATGGACGAAACGTGTGCCCGAGATACAGGTAGGCCGATTATGAATCGTGGTTCAATTTTACTGACGATGCAGCCGTGGGGCATCTGTTTCTTGAAGATTGATGTGGTGGTATCTACAAGGTTTTTCTTATGTCAGAGTGTCAGCTGTGTTCTAACTTCAGAAGTACCGGTACATGTATGTCAGATGAGTGGGTTTCCGCTTGAGACTGGTTATCCTCTTTGCTCTACAAACTGTGAAGCGTTACACCCACCTCCCTTTGTTTCGCCATGTGCACGTGTTTGTGAACTCGGCTACTAGCTAGCTAGCTAGCTAGCTAGTGATAGAGCAGATAAAGAAGTAAATGGAGCACTGTGTTCGTTGACGAGCTACGCAAAGCCGCTCGCTGGCTTATAAAATCGCAAGATCTTTGCATCTTCCCAGCACCCTCTCGATCCTCCCCTTCCTGCACCCAATCCTCATCATAGTTCCCTCTATCCCATGGTAACTTTCCCCTTTCTCATATTAAAGGTACTGTGATACCATGGCAAGCCAACCCAAAGAGCAGAAGAGGAAGAAGAGGAGGAGCTCAGATGTAGACGACTCACAGCCAGCAGCCAGCAGCCAGCACTGAAGAAAACTAGCATTTGGAATAGTATCGAGCCTGATGTGACCATTGTGGTTGGTGGTGTGGAGTTCAAAGAGTACGGTCCAAGCCTCTGCTGTTGGAGTGACTACTTTGATAAAGCACTGGGTAGTGGCATGAAGGAGTCTGCCACCAAGCACTTTGAGTTTCCGGACCGAGATCCTAAAGAATGGGAATGGATTATGTCCTTGATGGCTCCACTCTCAACAGTGAGGGTTACCAAAGAGAAACTCAACATTGCCTTATCATGGTTTGATGCGCTGTGCTCGAGAATTGGAATGGAGGAATGTGCACTACGCTAAAAGCTAGTGTAAAGATCTTTCGAGTGTTTTGAGTTTGAGAGAATGAAAGTTATGAGAGAGATTAGAAAGCTACGGAAACTAATCCATGAGAGAGATCGTTGTGAAGCTCATTGAAGTTGGTCTCCCGCGGGAGGCCTCGAAGTGTGATATCGTAGGTTATGGCATAACTCTACGTACTCCACGGTCCATTTCCGGAACACGTGGAAACTTCAGCTAGTAGCTGTCTAGTAGCGTGGAAGCTTTCCACGCCGGCTAAATATCTAGAGCGATGTTTCATCGACAACCTAGTATGACTAGCAGTCATGAGAACCCTGTCTCAATGACTATTCGCGAAGGAAACAGTCATGAGTACAACTCAAACCCTATCTAGGATCGAGTCGCGAATAAGGCTAAGAGCCGTGTATTGCATTCGCCCCCTGACAAGGGTCACAGAAGGCGCGACAGCAGTCGGACAAGGAAGAACATATGATTTAAAGTGCGGGGCACTCTCATGAGATTTGGATGTAGACATGTGGTCGCACGATGGCAATCCTACAAGGGGATCAGGCCTTGTATGGTGTATATACCTTATGTTCCAAGTCTGGTAGACTGTGCCGCCATTGGCGGTAGCATGTCGGAGCCGACAGTGCCATTGTTATTGACTCGGTCCATATTGTAAGGACCTTTGTACTTTGGCTGACGTACTTGCGGTGCTGATACTGTTGAAACCTCACAGTATCGTTGACATTGTATTGATGAGGGACACGCGTCGCGTTTTCCTTATCAGTGTGTTTCTGGATGAGTCGTTGGCGACGTTCTTTGATGGTTTCCAGTTTACTTCGAACAGGACGTTGTGAATGCGTCACGATTGAACACGTGTGGTAATGAACTTGCGACGAAGTCCAAATTCATCCCGGAGTGTCTTCTCGACTCTGCGCGGAACTCCGTTCTATCCATGATAAACCTCAGCAGGCCATGGATACTGGGTGAAGCCACGTTGTTCTAGAACGATGGCTACTTCGTCTGTTGCTATTGGAGCAGATCTCGGCATCTCGAACCATTCGGTTACGGGATCCATCATTGTCAAGCAATGAAATGGACAAGGATTCCTTTTCTTGGGATCCCGACGTTGTAAGTACATGGATCGTCTGATCCTATTGTCTCGATAGTAGTTCACTAGTCTAATGAATTTACCAAGTTTTTCTTTTGTTAGGAGGAGCGATATTTTGGATCGCATCTATTTTCCTGGTTACGGGTTGGATTCCTTCTCAAGTAATCCAGTAGCTTAGATACTCAAGTTCTCTTCTTGAAGAAGGACTTGGTAGCATTGATCTTAAGTCCGGCTTCTCTGAAGCCTTTAGGAGAACTTCACTAACTATTCAACGTGATCTACTAGAATCGCCGTTAGTTAGGATGAGTGATATCAATGTATGCACGGACATTTTCCAAGTCGGTGCATCGAGTTCCCATCTTCCTATTGGAAGATGTAGGGACTATTGCATAGGCCCTCGGTACTCGCTTGGTACTTCGTTAATTTCCTGAATCTGTCTAGTTCAGTAGCATGTCTTGTATATCTTGGGATCGGACAAGTTTTTGCTCAATCCTTTTCGTTCAGTTCCCCGGACGTCAGAGATTGAACCGTGTAGAATCCATTCTTTTTGGGAAATGATAAATTTTGGTGCCCGTCCACATCGGAACGGTTTACCTCTTTAAAGTTGCTCCTTGCGTCGGCAGAGAACGTTCGACCTCTGTTTTTAATAGTGTTGGTATGAACCTGTGGAGTAGGGTACCCTACTAGATAGGATTTAGTGTCGGACGAAGTTCTACTTCGTAGTCTCCATTTGTCGCTTTCCTAAAGTACTTTCGAATTGGTCGGAGCACTTTGTTAATAAGGCATGAACGGTTCTGCTCATTCCCTTATTTACCTGTTTTGACTCTGGTATATCTGCCTTAAATCAGGTTTGTTCGTATTTCGTGTCAAGAGTTCTCTTGAGACGATCTGTACTGTCGCTGACAGCTTTAGGATCATTGAACTTGATTTTTAGATCGGAGAGAATGTCTCGACCTATGATCATGTTATACGCCCCAAGTTCTTGGTGGCGTGCAAGTTCCATTCGATAATTCTATCATCGGTGAACTCAGGAGTCATAAGTGCACCCTTACACTTCGGGCTGGGGTTTAATTCCTTTACAGGGGTAGTCCATCCTTCATACTTAATCTCTTAGCATGAATTTGGTTAATCAAGGTTCCGGATGCTTCTGTGTCCAGTAAGCAACGGAGTGTAATGTGTTTTCGTTTCCCTTTTTTAACATAGACGATAGTTTTGAGGTCTCTTGTCTTGCGACGCTTACGAGGTGGTTGGCCAAGGACAAGGTTAACAATGCCGGGTAGATCGTCAGAATCTAAGTGAGCAGCTTCTAGCCAATTATCTAATTTGCCGTAGAGTTCATCGGTTGCAAACATTTCTTGTTTACTAGTTAGTGAGATATCTTATTCACTTAGGTATGAGAAATCGGAACATGGTTCCGTTGAATCATCATCCTGGCCTAATCCTCAGACGGAGATCTCTCCATCTGAATGATTGAAGTCGAAGTCGTCAAGAGCCTTGTCGACTGCAGCCATTTCATTGAGTCCATCTATTGTTGAGGGGACCCGACAGAGGAGTCATCCTCGTTGTCAGAGTCGTCCGACTTGCGTTGGACAACATGGTTGCATTGCTTTTTCTTCCTGCGATCCGCCTTGACCGCAGCGTTGGAGTCTTTCTTCATGAGGACAGGAAGTTCCTTCTTGGTGTAGGATTGGAGTCGGCAGACTTGCGTTTCCAAGTCTTGTTCTTGTTGTACGATGGCTGGTTATCGTTGTCAGAAGATGAGACGAGGACTTGGCTTTAAGTTTCTTCAGAGTCATGCAATCAACAGTATTGTGAGTGCTGGACTCGTGGTAATCACACCACCTTTCTTCGCTCTTGGAAGAATGGTCATTGTTTCGAGTAGACTTGTACTTATTTCTGTTGTTC